GTCCCATCAGTCATACCGAAGTAGGCCGCAACAGGCCGCTGCCCACCAAGACCACCGGCAGCAGTAGCCTGCGGGCCGGTCTGGCCGTAGAAAACACCGACCTCAAGCACACCGATAATCTCCTTGATCTTGCGAGCCAACACATCAACCGCCCACACGCCGTCCTTGCCGTTACCATCCTTGCCAGCCTCAATATCGGCCTTGATCAGCATCGGCTTGAAAGGAGCATCGATAATGAAGAAGTCCTGATCGGTCTTGAGGGGACCTTCCTTAACGCTCGCGGACGGCCGGATAGCGGGGTTGACACTGCCGAGTTCCTTCAACTTTTGGATAACGCGGTAGGCGGCGATCGGGGCGACCTCGATGGGGATTGATGTCCAGCTTGTGAGGAGACGTGGTTGGAGTTTGCGGTGGTCTGAGTATTGCGAGCGTGAGTTAGTTGGGGTCATTGTCATGCAAAGAGGAAAGAAAAATAAGAAAGTTGGCTCTACTTCCGAGCATCACCCAACTTAAATCCCCTCCAATGCAAAATGAAGTAAGATCATATTAGATCAGATTAGAACTTACCGGCAACACAGATAAACTCCTTAGCCTGCATAGCGACGATCTTCTCCTGGAACAAGCATGCACCACCGCCCTTGATGCAGTTCAGATCTTCGTCGACCTCGTCCGCACCATCGAATGCCACATCGAGAACAGTGCCCAGCGGAAGGGCGTCGTACTCAACAGCAGTTAATCCGGCATTGACAATTAGCTGCTTGGACTGGTAACCGGTCGGGATGTACTTCGTCGCGAAGGTGTCCACGCCGAGGTTCTTGATGGCCTCGACGACGTACACGATCGTCGTACCACTGCCGATGCCGACCCAGCGGGCATCCTTGGGGTAGTGTTTTTCGACGGCGACCTTTGCGGCGGTGCGCTTGGCTTCTTCGACGGCGGACATCGTGAATTGGCTTCTTTGGAGACTTTGGAGGGTGCTACGAAGAAGAGTGGGGGTGGTGGGGTGGGTGAGTCTACGGCAGAGGAAAAGAGGGGAGATGAAGGCTGATTGGACCATGGAATCCGTTTTTTTATGGACGGTCTTGGAACGGATTTGGTAGATATTCTGAGGAAAAGGGAAATAGAGAACGAAACTGAGCACAAAATAGAATCTATGCTCTTCACCCTTAGCTAGAAGACCTCTGGCCACTATGAAGTCACGTTACAGTGGGGTTTAGCGCTCGCAGGCATTTCTTTTCTATAGAACCGAGACCTAGGCATCCTACAATATTAATCAATGTTATATACAATATGTCTAAATATTATCAAGTTCGTGTTTCATGCATAATAGGAAATATAAGTCACATCAGATCAAATACCCCATAGTATACTCCTTATACAATCAAGGACCACAATATACTTATATTTTAGTAAAACTCCCTTGGATACCATAGCAATAGGCAAAGTAAAAAGAAATTACATATTTGAAAAGTCCCTTAGCAGCACGGGCTAGCTATACCTGTTTCTCTCTGGCAATAACCACCTCATTTCACATCAGGGCAGAACTTCAAACTAAGCATCGTAGTAGTTGGTCATGGACTGGGAGTAAACCCCGCAAGTCTTGTTGGCAGTGAACAAGATCTTGTCTATATGTGTCAGTTAGCTTAAGCATCTTCTCGTATGGAACAGACCGTACTAAGAACAGTATCAATGCCATATTTCGTATAGGCACAGCCTGCGTCGGCGTTTTGAATCACAGGTCGGGCCAAGCAGATACAGTGCTAGTCAGCCTTTTTGCAGTTAGTTCTGTCCATTCCTTTGTACAAACAGGGAAGGACACAGACAGGGAGACTCTCCCCTACGGCATGTCGAGTGTAGAAAAGGTGAGGACAATGACCAACCTCATTTTCATGACTTGGACTTCTGGAATAAGTCAATTGACGTAGAGAGGACCGCCCCTGGTGCAAGGTGAAATTGGGACAACGAATGGTATAAATATCTCTTGTGGACTATATTGATATAGGTGCTAAAGCCTTGGCCGAGGTTCCTTTTCAGCTCTACCTTTGAGATGTACAGAGATACACAATGTAGATTGCCTTACTATCGTTCATTTGCAAAATTGAAGCTGGATTATGTTGACCCCATGTCCATTTCGTTTCGACGACTTTGAGGATGTCCTGCGTATTCAATCTTCGATCTCTCTGCTCCAACGGCATTGCTAAGAGTTAAAACCCACATGGATGAAGCTAATCCTCGTATAACAGCCATTTTTATAAATTGGTGTGAAGCTGAGAAATAGGACTATATAGTTAAAACAGTAGTAGTATGAGTCGCGACAGCCTCTTCAATAGGATTGTCAAAGGACTCACTTTGTTGCCACTTGAATTTCAAAACGAACTGATTCATCTGAAACTAAAGAGGAAAAATATCTCAGGGTCTACATATGTAGCAAATTATATGTAAAATATCAAGGCCCATAAAGATCCAGTGAGGCTCTGCGTGTCGGCCCGAATTATCAGGCCACAATATGCGCTTACTAAAGACAGTCGCGCATCAACAAGTCGACATCCACTGCTCCATCATTTGGGAACTTGCATGATTGAAGAGCAAATACTGTAAGCACACAAGAAGCATCACAGAACGATAAGCAGGCAATGGTCTGAGCCTCAAAACAAAGCTCTACCACCTCCCCCGCACTACTTGATATCCACCATGACGGATGCCTTCCCCGCGGCCCTGACAGGGCCAACCTCTAAGGAGCGCAAATATGATCGTCAACTCCGCCTGTGGGCAGCAACTGGCCAGCAAGCACTTGAGGACTCTCACGTTCTGCTGGTGAACTCTGATGGCCCTCTCGGCCAATACAACACCGGTGTCACCGGCGTTGCTGGCGTTGAAACACTCAAGAACCTTGTACTGCCTGGAATTGGGGGTTTCACCATCGTCGACCCAGCTACAGTCAACGAATCTGACCTAGGCGTGAACTTCTTCCTGGAAGAAGAGTCCCTGGGCAAGTCCCGTGCCGAGGAGACCTGCCGACTGCTGAAAGAACTGAATCCAGATGTAGAGGGACATTACTATGTCAAGGTATGATTTCCCATGACTAAAAGTAGATGATCGTGACTGACTTCTGAACCAGCGCGTCGAGGAGCTTCTCACAGAGCCTGACTTCTTGCCCCAGCACAAGCTGGTGATTATTTCTGGCCCAATGAGACGCTCGACACTGGTACCCCTGACCCAGGAAGCAAAGCAACTGGGTATCCCCGTGCTGTACCTGCACTCAGTCGGGTTCTTCTCCACTTTCTGCGTGCAATTGCCGGCTGAATTCCCCATAGTTGAGACACACCCGGACCCAGAATCAACCCAGGACCTGCGTCTGCTAAATCCCTGGCCCGAGCTTGTCGCCGCTGCAGCCAACCTAGACAACCTGGACACCCTGGATGACCATCAGCACGGACATGTCCCTTATCTACTTCTCCTGCTTCACTTCCTGGAGCAATGGAAACAGTCCCACGAAGGCAACGTACCGAGTAACTACAAGGAAAAAACCGAGTTCAGAGAGTTCGTGCGGTCCCAGACGCGCACTTCTAACCCAGAGGGCGGCGAAGAGAACTTCGATGAGGCAGTTGCCGCTGTACTGAAAACAATTTCGCCATTCAGTCTACGCAGCTCGATCCGTGAGATCTTCGAGATGGACCAGTGTCGACAGCTGTCAGCATCATCCCAAGATTTCTGGGTCATTGCCTCAGCCATCAAAACCTTCCACGCATCTCACGGCGTCCTCCCCCTCCCAGGCTCCCTACCAGACATGAAAGCCCAGTCCGCAGACTACGTATCACTACAAAACATCTACAAGGCCAAAGCGCGACAAGACGTAGAAGAGGTGACAGCAACCGTACGCCACCTCGAATCCCAGCTCAGACGCCAAACACCCGCAATCCCAGAGCGAGACATTGAAGTATTCTGCAAAAGCGCCGCGCACATCAAAGTCGTGCTGGGCCGCGACATCCCTCAGATAAGCATCGACAGCGACGCGTCAACACTGAAAACCATCCGCAACGAACTAAACGTCCCGGAATCCCTGATTCCGATATTCGTCGCGATGCAGATCCTCGACTCGGTCGTGGACGAGATCCAATCCAGCAGCCGTGAAGAGGACCGCTCTGTTGACGATGATGCGCTGTGGAACAGCCACACGGAACGCATCCTGGCTCTGTTGACTGGGGCGGATGGATCGGCTGTCTGTCAGGAGGCGCGCGTGCAGATCGCCCGTGCGAGTAAGGAACTGCGTCGGGCTGAGGGCGGCGAGTTGCATAATATCTCTTCGTTGACGGGGGGCTTGGTTGCGCAGGAGGCGTTGAAGGTGCTTACTAGGCAGTATTGTCCGCTTGATAATACTTGCGTCTTTGATGGGGCTAGGAGTAAGAGCGAAATGTACAGGCTGTGAGTGGGAGATGTGATTTGCTATCAACGTGCTGGATGATTGCATCGCTGTATGCAAGATTCCAGGTACTCGCTGAGTTCGTGGAAATGTTACTCAAAGAATGTTATGACTTATGATCCAGTGATACTGTGGTTTGTAGACCTCAGTGAGGTACACGACTATGCAAATGCCTTGGTACTTAAGTGACCTAGAAGATATGTATGAACTCATGAGCTCGGGTCGTTCTTTCAGTGGGAATGCCGAGACATTTTCATGTAGTATAGAAAATTTAGATCTTCGCGCCAATGTGTGCAGCCAGATTGGGCCTAGGATGTGTCTGTCGAAGCACAGTGGCCAGTGCAGGACATCCTCGCAAGAACAACGATAATTGCTCCAACAAGCGCGGAGAGCATCTTCGGCTCTCCGGTGATCCACCGCATAGATGATATGAGATGGATATATGGGCTAGGTCCATATGTGCACGATTCTGATGCACAAACGACATTTCCGTTGCGACCATTGCTGTCTTCACCTTTGCATACGCTCTCCAGCGACGGAGCTGTAACCAGGCAACGCATGGATTGATAACCAGAGTCTCTTAACGTTTCCTCGGCTTCTGATTTGTACGATTCCGCTTAGGACCCTGAGGTCCACCTTTGTTCTCATAAAGCTTCTCCTTCCCGAACGCCGAATCAGCAATTCGCAAGTAACTAACCACACCCTGATCAACGACAGCCATGACGACATTGCGGTATCCGTGTCGCAGTCTCATGTACATCATACGGTCCATTTTCTCCCCACGCGGGGGATCAAGTGGTGTGCTTTCGAGCAAAGCACCGAGCTCTGTCATAGTGGGCATGGTCGTTTGGTCGCGTGTGCTGACGACCGCGATGCGGAAGTCTGGAGTTGGAAGTGCGGACTTTTTGAGGGGGGTTGAGGGCTTGTAGATGTGGAACACGACGCGGAAGGGTGGTGTAGTATCAGAGGGGTGTCTTTCGGGCGCGGTGACTGGGTCATACCAGGGGATGATGGCGAGCTTGCGGTATACATCCACTATGAAGTAATGTCAATCAGAAGAGCTAGGATGATTACCGCGGAGAGATTAATGCGTAACTCACTGTAATGACGGTGAATGCCGGTGCCGATGATAGGGCCAGTTGCCGTAGAGGCCGTCGAGCGAGGGTCATGGATCCAGTTGAAAAGTGACCCAAGCATACCAGCCAAGCCGGGGCCATGAAGCTCCGGTGACGTTAGTTCGCTAGCATCTGAAACAGCCGCATCTTGCTGCTCCATGTCGTCGCACCATCCAGGAGCTCGAAAGAGCGCATAGCCCAGACGCTTGAGACCAGTATAAACGGAGTACCGTTCAAGGGTCAGACCACCGCGGCCCATGAAGCATGTATATGCAGCCTGCAGGCTCATCGGGACGGACAGGTCTTCTTCTCCTGGACCGGCAGCGGACGCAGATGGGCTGGGCCATCTAATATCTAGACTTCCTCGCTCAATAAGATATAAGGCTTCCTCTGGCAACAGCCAAACACGGCTCGACGAGTCTGCCTGCCCCATTGTCTTGAAGAACTGTCCCTTCGGGCTGGGCACGTAGACACATGCGTCGGGGGATATCCTGGCGGAATTGGGCAAAGGCCTGGCGGGTTTGGGTGTAGACTCCGAGCTCTTTCCGTCTTCCTTTCCGTCCTCTCCGCCAGCTTTCGGTTTCGCGCGACCGGGTTGAGCTGGTGGAACATACCCGTCGGGTGCGTAGAAAGCTATGACACGAGTTTTGGCACCGTGGAGACGGGGGTATGAGAGCGCATTGTGCATAGCACCTCGCGAAGCGGAGAGCACATCGGCTTGAAGTTCTGTCGGATTAGGCTCAAAGTCCTTCTCGCCGCGGCGCGGGATACCGGGAGATGAATCGGCAAAGCTGTGGAGAGATATAAGGTAAGCAATTGGTAATTGAAGAAGCGATCGAGGACACTGGAGATTGCCGAGTCAGAGGAATGGGCCGTGCTCATACAAATTTAAATGGTTCAAGAAGCGGAAGTCTTGCGTCTCATCGGACAGGTCGACCTCGGGCTGTGCAGAGGCATTCGCAGGGGCGTGAATGAGGTCCTCGTCTGCGTCCGCCATGTTGAATTGTTTGTAAAGAATAAATCAGAGGCTGGAATTTCGGAGTCAGAGCCGGAGGAGATTAGAAAAGGTGCGCTTATCGATAAGCGGGCTTCTTTTCGTCCGGCAGAATAATATCTACGTCGACCTCGGGGGAAAATCAACCTTAGAAGGTCAACATGAGTTTACAAACAGTCTTGCATTGGATATTTCTCTTGAGAATATTCTATCTCCTCATTCAGCAACCTTGGAATTGAACTTTGATTGTTAACCTATCAAATTCTATCAAACAGAATGAGCTCACCGCCCTTGCCTCTCAGATATAACTATGGAGCCTATATTGCAGGTGCTCTCTATTGCTTTTCCAACATCACAACTTGACTTCCATAGTCACTTTTGAAGGCGAACTGCAGACCAATATTCATCAAGGTGGCACCGGTGTAAACCACACCTTCGTCAACCTTATAGGAAGCCTGCGCATCCAATCCCTGCAATTTAATGCGCGGCCATGAGTGATTAACATTTGGAGCGACCTGGAAGACAAACAAAACAGCCTTCTGACCGTCCTCAGCAATGAACAAAACAGCAGGCCAATTCGAGTCCTCTGGAAGGTTCAACCGCCACATATCGCCATTGAGAACAATGGGGTTCACCTTCTCAGCAAGAGCAACGAGCCCCGGCACAGCCGCCTTGTCCTCCTCGTCCATTGCAGCCGGATTGAGTTCCAGGCCAAATGAGCCGCCCATCATGGCAACATGTCCGCGAACAGCTATGGGGACTGTGCGGCCAGTCTGGTGGTTCGGCACTGTGGACAGGTGAGCACCCATCGCGCTGGGCGGGTAGGCGAGCGAAGTACCAAGCTGGATAGTGATGCGATCGACGGCGTCTGTATTATCGGATGTCCAGATCTGCGGGAAGTACTGCAGAACACCAGGGTCGAAACGGCCTCCGCCCGATGCACAACCCTCCCAAAGAACATCGGGGAATTGGGTTGTGAGTTCATTGAAAACGCGGTACATGCCGAGCATGTAGGCGTGGTTTGTGGCTGGGGAAGGCGTCTCATTAATGCCTCTGTTGTTATCCCACTTGACGTAAGTAATGTCTGCACTCTTGAGAATGTCTGAGACGGACTTGATGATGTAGTCTTGGACTTCAGGAAGAGCGAGGTTCAACACGAGCTGGTTGCGAGCTTCAGTGCGAGGGTAGGGTCCTGCGTGCAAGGCCCAGTCTGGGTGCTCGTTATACAGAGTCGAGTTCGGGTTGACCATTTCCGGCTCGAACCAGATACCGAAGCGCATATTCGTTGACGTGTTCGCTGCTTTCAGGTCCGTGATCTTCTTCACGAGGGGCTCCAGGCCATCTGGGAACCGGTCAGGGTTGGGGACCCAGTCGCCAAGTCCGGCGTTGTCGGAGAGACGTGGGTATTCCTTGCCGAACCAGCCGTCATCCATAACGAAGAGCTTGGCGCCTACTCCGGCGGCTTCCTTTGCCAGGTCGTAGATGCTACTCTGGTTGAAATCGAAATACAGTCCTTCCCAACTGTTCAGCAAGGTGGGACGATCACTGGTGGCAAACTTGCTCTTGATGAGATGGTTGCGGTACAAGCGATGCAGGGAGCGCGACATTCCACCAATGCCATCCTTGGAGTACACCGAGACACATTCCGGGGAGGTAAGAGTCTCCCCGGGCGGCAGAGTCCAGGAGAGCTGGCTAGGGTTGAAACCCAAAAGGGCACGTGTGAAGCCCTGTGAGCCCTTCTCGACGTTGACGGTGAATGAACCCGTGTACACAAGCGAGAATCCCCATGCCTCTCCTTGAGACTCGGTGGTGGAGGGCTCTGCCAATGCCAAGAAAGGATTGTGGAGGTGACCGGAATAGCCATTGGAACTTCCAAAGCTTTGGAGGCCGTACACAACGTTCCTCCTCTCGCGATGCGCTTCCCTTGCCCAATCTCCACGAAGGTTAATCATATCCAGGTCCTCAAACGGCAAATCCACGCTCAGACTGGCGAGAGACTCGATTGTGATATTTCCCTTTCCATGATTCGTGACATTCACGCTGCGCACAATTGCATCATGCTTGGGGAAAATCGAGTAGGAGAGGTCCGCAGCAACGTCGCTGTACTTGTCATATAGACTGATGACCAAGGTGCTGACATCTTCTTCCGTGCCCATGGTGGCTGGCAACCCAGGCAGAGCGGGCTTGCCGGGGATGATCTTGTGCGACTTGTACCGGAATTCAGACACGGTGTACCCTTCTGACTGGCGAATGCTAATCGCAGGGACCCGGTAATCCCCTCGGCCTTGGTCTGGGAACTCGCGGCGTACACGTCCAATATTGCTATTCCAGCCATTGACGTCGCCTATAACCTCCAGAGGAATATTAGCTCCGACAGAGCCACCGAAGTGGTCTCCTAGGAGATCACCAGTGGTATTGTCCACATGGAAGCGGTACGCAACATTTTTTCCATTGAGAGCAAAGAAAGTACCATCTGCCACGATTGCTATAGGATACGTTGTCAGATTTGCAATGTCAGAAAAGAAGAGAAGAGAAAGACTCACGATTTGTGCTTGATTCCTTCGCCATAACGGCGGAGGAATGCGCAAGGAGAGCAAGGCCAGTGGCCACAAAGCCCCTTGATAGGTAAACCATTTTAGCTGGGCTTCTTGAGAGAATTCAAATCCAACATCTGGGAAACACATACCTTTTTATATGTTTTACCCCGATATGTTTTACCCCGACCTGTGGGATGCATCAACGTGGGTGTTACCAGTTTGGCTCGAACTATGTCGATCTCAATCAAGTTGTATGGGTCTCAACTGCATAGAATATAGACTTTTAGCAGTCTGCTGAACTATAACTAGTGAAATGACGTCCACCAGAAACAACTTCGGAGATACTTACAAGTATATAAGCTGGGGTTTACTTGTTGTGGAGTAGTAAATGCGGAGGAAACCCCGGGGAAACTCCGTGTCCCGGGCGGTTTTGCACGCCGTTCATTGGTTTTGACCTTTTCAATCCCGACCCTGTCTACTAACCTTGAATTCTTGCTGTCAATGCTCTTCTTCTCTTGGAAAGAAAAATGAGACCAGCAAAGGCCTGTTCAGTATGCCGGTGAGCAGCAATTCAAACCCCACCCCCACGCCCATGACCCCATACTCATTTTTTAGTGAACGTCGACGAAAGTGCGACATTCCGGCAGCTGGAAGCTCGTGCGTCTATTGCTCTGCCCGGAGACTAGACTGTAATCGGAAAGACCTCTCCGTGTCGAAAGGATCTTCTATACTAGAAGAAGCACCCCGGACTGTGTCTCTCCCCGAGAAATGCACTTTACCGGATGAACCCCTCTGCACTGAACTGGTGGAGCTATATTTTGATTATGTGCATGACAAGTTCCATTCTCTCTTTCATCGGCCAAGTCTGCTGGAAGACATACGTCGAGGAGCAACGCCCGAAATTTTAATATACGGGATTCTCGCATTATCGGCACGGTATGCCTTCTACCCGGCCCGAGTGAACTTGTGAATCTGACTCGGGTAGGTTTTCAAATCACTCTTCCTTTGCCGAAACAGATCCTCGAGACAGAGGAAAAGGCTATGCGAAAAGATGTGAGCAATTGCTCAACTTGAATGATGTCACTTTGACAACAATCCAAGTTTGTGTTTTGCTCGGCGCCATTGCTATAGTAGATGGTAACGCTGCCTCGGAGACCATCTACTACTCAATTGCATGCCGTATTGCACAGCTCCTTGATCTCCCGAATTGCGATGCTCCAAATCGTGTGGAAAAAGAAGTAAACACAAGAGGTTTGTAGTTTACACCGAAATACTCGAAAATACCCACCCATCTAACATCCAACACAGTATGGTGGACTCTCTGCATGATAGACGTCTGGTCCTCAACAGGAGTCCGACTCCCACGGCTAATGATCCCGCAACCAAACATCCCCCTCCCAATGAACGAAGCGACCTTCCTCTCCATGACCCGCGCGCAAGGCTTCACAGTATTAGTCTCAAAGGACCGCGCCTCATCCCTCCTAGCACAAATGGTCCTCCTAAACCGAATTCTCTCAGAAATCAACGACTTCAACATCAAAGCCGCCAACACAACTCTCACAGAAGAATACAAAACAAAAACCATCTCAACCCTCTCCGCAAACCTTTCCACCTGGCTGAAAAACCTACCGGAACACATGCACGACACACCCTCGAACCTCCAATCCTACGCCTCCCAAGGCCAAGGCCAGCTCTTCGTAACCCTCTACTTAGGATATTATCACTACGGCCAGATGCTCTTCTACCGCTTCCTCCACGAAGACGTCCGAGGTTACACACCGCGCACGCACTTCTACGCACAGCAATGCAAAGAACACGCCGTTCGGCTCTGCGAGATAATCTACCGCTCCGAGGAACTACCTGGGTGTGATGTGCTGTACAGTATGGTCGGACATGTGCTCGTTATTGCGTCAACAGTGCAGATCCATACATTGCTTTTCGGGGATGAGGGGAGTGTCGTTCGGGCGAGGGCGAGGCTTGAGAAGAATTTTGTTATCCTGACTAAACTGCGTGCCCTGTGGCCTACGCTCGATATTTGTATGGAGCGGTTGCAGGCTTTTCATCGGGCTTGTAGGAGCTCGGTTGATACTAGTTTTTGTATGGATGGATGGATGGTAAGGTTCTTGGTTGAGTTTGCTAATCCGATTAGCGACAAGGAAGGGGGTGTGAAGCGGCCTTGGGCCTTGGAGGAGATTGGGATTTGTTAGCTATAGCTGTTAGCTGTACATAGTGAGGTTGTGGACTGTGTTGAGGTTGAGAGATTGTATAGTCGGAAATAGGCGGTGACGAGAGCGGTCAAGCCAATGTGTTTCATGGATGATGCCCCTCACAAATTCAATTGAGCTATTTGGGTACCGATTTTCGAAATACCAGGCATATTTGTTGGATAATATCACATGGGCGAAAAGAACCAAAAGGCCGTGGACTATAATGAAAGTTTGCGCAAGGTATATTGTCCAATACAACCACCAAATGCAGTGAATAACATAAAGATAGATATCAAACAGCCTTGAGAATGCCCTAAAGACTTTTGGGCCCTCCTCGAGGCAGTATCAAACAATACTTGAAATGTTGAAAGAATGCCTCCGGGATGCTGAGAAGGAAAGTCAAAAGCAGAGCAAAGCCCCGGTGGTTGATGCAGACATGCTAAGCATTGCCATGGGATTTCTAGAAGTTGGGAAATAAAGCTGCATGTATAATATAATAAGTGGAAAGCTTCATCATCATGAATGGATTTGTGACCACAATAGTTTCTCTGCAACTAGAGTATCTACTCTGCGATTCTGACCCCAAGGTCGTCCCCGAACCAGTCTCCTACCCCGACGCCGCTATGCCGCCATGCCAAGTACTGCCGCCAAGATATGTCTCAGTTGAGACCCTCCGGGGCCTTGGTGGTTGACGGAGTAGCTTGGCAACGGTGGTGAAACTAGTAGTCTTGGTGTCGGAGTCAACGCGGAGGCGGAGGCGGAGGCGGAAGCGGGGACGGGGATGGAGGCGGGGATGGGGAAAGGCATCAAACCAGCATAAGTAATGTATGTGCACTCGTTTATTTAATTTCTGATGGTATTTGAAGGATATATGTCATGGGGCGGCATGTGTTGAAGCGATTTTACATTCTAAATGACAATATACATGGCCACAGGATAGATGATTCCGGATTCCTGAATCCATAGATCCATGGGTACACAAATTGCATCACCATTGGGACAGATGCGTGACTGGGCCATTATACGGGTGAAATAATCCGTAAATGCCAAACCAGACCAAATACACGTATGCAGTGGGGAGACACTGGACAGAAGTTGAGGGAGGCAAGGCAACACTCAACTTCCCGGACCAAATCTCCAAACAGGTAGTCCAAACACCCCGTGATCCCCGTTTTGCGAAAAGACACATAAACAGCAAACTGCAGTTTCCAGGAATGCCATGCAACCAACTCCAAAATGTATGCATTCGTAAGACATGTCATGAGATAGCGTGGTTTCGGAGGAGTCTTCAGAGTCCGCACGCGCCGGGGCATCAAAACTAACGGCAGCCGTCAGTCCCTATTTGTGGGAATACTGTTCAGGAGCTCCGGCATCAAGACGCGGGGATTTATTAATTAAGTTTCATCGTTGTTACTGCGAAGAGTCGGATCGACCCCCATCTCAGTCGATCAACGGTTTCTTCTGGTTGCCGACAATAGCGGCGCCTAGATGGCTGAGGGCGTTGTGGTCGTTTGGTCGTACAATTGCTGGAAGAGGCAGCATGGGGTTGTCCGGGTTGACATGGGCAGCGTCTCGTGCGGCTTGCTCGATCGCTTCCATTTCTTCTTTGCAGCCGGCGTGGTCGAGAGGGCAGACCACGATTGGTTGTCGAATGGTAATGTCTCTTGCGGAGGTTAGGTGGGCCTGTTGTGTGTGAGTTTTGGGATGATATGCTATGAAACTAGGGGAAGAACGAACTCGAACTGTGAGGTAGTACTCGATTTTATATAGACTTGCTGTGGTTGTGAAGCCGCTCACACCGTATGTTGGAAATGCCGTCCTACTTCTCGGCAAGATTCCTTCTGCGTCGCGGAGGTCCTTGGCGGGGAATACCAAGCCCAGGTTTGTTAAATAACCCGATTGGGGCAATTTAACACCAATGTTCTCCGTTTTCTTGGCTAGAACTTTAACTTTGCGCTGGGGCTCATCGCCTTCGTGGTTGTAGACGATTTCTTCATCGATGCCAATGGTGATCTTGTTGATGGTCACTTTACGCGCCTTGCCCATCCAGCTCTCGTTCGGTGACAGTTTGACATAGACGCTGACGGGGTCGAGAGGACCGTACGACCACCGTGGTAGCGAGATGGCTAATGTGACCAGATGATCTGATACGCGCTCCGCCGACTCTGGACGATTGTACATGCCGAATGTGGAGAGTGTGTCGTAGCGCGCGATAGGGACGGGGAAGGTGTATTTGTGCTGCTGCTGTTGCCCTTGTTGGACCATCACCACCATCTCGTAGTAGGTTTCAGCGGTGCGACTTGGGAGCTGTACACTCGCTGGGGGCACACGGCGAGAGGCATCGCGGCCCCCACGACCAAATGGAATAAAGAGAACGAAGGGCAGATCCATAGATATTACTTCCTCGTATTCTCGGCCGGCCGGACATCGAAATAGAAGCATCTCTTTGCCGACGATGTCGGTGATCTCTTTTCGCGGCGGAGCCAGGCGCTTCTTTGTGAAGGTGTCGGCCGAAGGGTGAATTGTCTCGCGGCGGAGGAGAGAAATAGTGACGAGCGAGACGTTGACCGGAGCGGTAATGCCAGCGGAGGGTCTGATTTCGACTTTACCCTCAATTCGTGGCTTGGATTGTCAGTCAATGGGGGCTGCCTGAGCAGGGGCCAGACCGGCTCGTCGCATGTATTGCAGGGCGCTTACCATGGTCGCAGAAATGCCTGGGTATCCGATCAGAAAATTGCCATTCGGCGGGCCTGATACGCGCACAAAGGCGGCCATCTCGAGTCAGCCGTGCCTGTCGCACCATAGACATGCGGAGGTTGGTCGAGTTGTGGGGAATATGCGAGTGGACGGGGGATCCTTTCGCACGGTTCATAAGGGTTCGAGGGTGGGTCGGGTGAAACTGTGTAGAATATAATAGATCCCTTGAATGTCAGAGGGTCAAAGAGGCGAAAAGTGCAAGTGTCTAGAGGTGTAGAGGTCTAGAGGTTCGAGATAGGAGAAGTGAAGGAGCTTCCAAAGGTACAGTGGTTGTGGTGGGGAAAGGTGAACTGAGCCCCCCCAACAGCCACAATTAACTTGAGCCTCGAGACCTTTGTTTTATTAGGCTCTTCTAGATTGTTATACATTAAACGGTCTAATTGCTATATACGATATGGGAATATCTACCAGATCTTGTCAGATCTCTACATATGTCCCCAGACGTAATGGTTATCGCGTGGATAATATTCGCCCAGTTTCCAATGTCATCATCGTCATCACACATGGTAACTAGTATAATATATATTAGAACATACCTACAACATATATAGATATGGGTTTATATACCAATGAAGATACAATTTATATGAAAATATAAAACATGCCCAATTAGAACCATGGAAGACTAAATTCCGGGCCTTAGCAGATTTCCCAAGATTTTGGTTGCCAGTGCAACCATGACATCGCCTCCTTCTCCACCGAACTTCTTCAACGTTGAATAATCCCCAGACCTTAACGCCAGACTACATTCTACATCATTATGCCTCGTCGTGCAGCAAATAAACCTGGGTCGCAGTCCACACTGTCCTTCGGAGCCCGTGGCCGAGTCACTAAACCAGTCACCGCACCATCCCACAAAGCGAAGGCCCTCGACTCAACTCCAGCGCTCTCTGATCAGTCTGGCTCCGCCACCCCGGAGCCCCAGCAGCTGGCTGTTACCCCCTACGAACCTTCCAAGCCCCATGTCGCAGACCTAGCGGTGCGGCAGCAGGCCGCGATCGAACACCAAGCGCCCCAATCTGAAGATGACAAGCGGGCACTGAAGTTGAACAAGCAGGATATCTGGCGATACTGGCAGGCTCAAGAGCAGACCCGCAAGGCACCTAGGGGTAAGTCGAGTTTTCCACGCAGTGCATTAGCATGAATCAAGAGGCTAATTGCACTCAATAGTCCACCAGCAAGGCATGGACGTGGAGGAAAAGATTCTCCGGCATTTTGATCTCTGCAGCCAATACGGGGTACGTTGTCCGGGTTGGGAAAGCTCGTTTATGAATAAGTCATCTAACATAATGTCTTTCTCTTTAGCCCTGCGTTGGAATCGCTCGAGTCAAACGCTGGAGACGCGCTAATCAGCTGAAGCTCAACCCGCCCATTGAAGTCCTTGCAGTCCTTCTCAAGGGGAAGAATACAAAGGAGCGAGCACATATGGATGAATTGTTATCCTGAGGACATATGGGAAGAGTGATTTGGCGTTGACAGACTTGCATGGATTGGGCGTTTTCGGGAGGTATAATGAGATACGAATGGACATATGAGTATTCCCAGGCTTCAAGCGTTGTAAATGGTCCACTTTTGCGGAGGCCGAGTTGTATATTGTAAACCCAACGGCAGCTTGAGAGCAGCTTAAGGCACATGCAACTCTCAAGGTCAGATGGAAACAAGCTACTTGCTAGCAAATGATTATCGAAGATCTCGACTTCCATGTGAGCCGACCGAGGCAGCTTTACACTGTCTCAAGCAAATTGAACCTCGAGAATGCCGAATGCCCTGGCAATTTCCGTTTATACGCGACTACATGATAGAATTCCCGATCCTAGTCGAGACGTCGATCCTCATTTCAAGCTATCATCTGCCCTTCAAAGTATATCGAAGTGGCTATATTTATCTGGGGACATTAAAGACTGTGCCTATAAGGTCATTTCGATTCAGGTGTTATCCCCGGATTCAATGGGTCCGGGGACCCCGCGATATCAATATTTGCTTTTTCTTAACTTGACTTGATCCTTTCTGCAATAGGTCTACATACGGACCATGGAGTATGTATATGTATTTTCATTATTATCTTGTCCAGGAGTACGAAGTCCAAGGGTCTTCCACTTTGACACCTCAACAGTCATAATTCTACTAACGAAAGCCTAAGCCTAATTTAGATATTTCAGGCCAATGCGCCTTTCCCTTTTCCTCTCACACAGTGACCGGCAAATGGTTGACGACTCTAAGTAGGACTTGTTTCCCATGTGATCGGTGCTTTTTGTTTTTCGTTCCTGATTTCCCTGATTTTCTTGGATTTCCCTTTCTGGGTATTGACCCCAACCCCACGCTACAAATGCTCGTCCTGACTGGGCCCCCGCTAAATGTCTCACTTGGCTGGGCTGCGGTGGGCCCTTTTCCCAGCCCGTTCTCGTCCTACGTCGCTAATGTCCTTTGGTGAAAAACAACACGATATGGTTTACTCGGAAGTAACATCTCGACTCTGTTGCCACTGGAGGTAATCACCATATGCAGGTACAATATCTCACGATTGAGGCAGCCCTCGGAGGATGCTAACCTTTCGATAACCCTGCTAGTCTGTGGGTTATCCCGGGAGATATCAAGTGACCATTGAGCCCAGTAATGAAACTCTGGAAGCGCCCGGGGTATCTTTGAGGCCTTTACCTGACCCAGAGAGCTACGATGTACAACTTTGTACATCCATAAGCCCTGTATTGGATAATAAGATCCGTAGCTCACAGGGTCGTTCATGATCTCCTGAGCTCAGACCCTTTGCAGTACTCTTATTATTGGGCCAAATGATGGAGTGTGTTACCCCAAGCAATTTAATTCGAGATATTTATATTCTCGTTATATTACATATATTAATTGTATTAATTGTTGTAGACAATAGACAATGCGTCGGACCAAGTCCTAATGCGGTCTAGTCCGATGCTACCTTGTCTCGCGGGTCCGATCTTCCCCGGATTTTCCTGCTCAATAACAGACACTATGGGGTTTGCCACTCTTTGGTTTTTGATGGTCAATCATTCTTGTCATACATTCATTTGTCTTGGCTTGCATATCCTACATTTGAGTGCTTTGTAGCCAATTCATTCAAAGTTCTAGGCCGTGGAAACGCTGCACAACCCATACATGTACGAAGTACTGCAACCTGTATCATACCGCTATCGAGGCCACTAAGAGTCTAGCCAGCACAGTGGAAATTAAAGCCAGTGGCCCTATTCGGCCGCATGACTAGTTCCAAATGAGAAGTGTACTACCAACATTGCCACTGGTCCAGTCTTTCCGGTGGCTTACTCGCTTGTCTGGTCTAGTCTCGACTTGGCGATGCGGGCATACGTACGCCGTACGAGAGAATAGCACCAACCCCATCCTCACTCCAATGCTCAATCGGCTGCGGGAACCCAGAATCCGGCGTCAGCCTTCAGGCTTGGCCATGCAATGAGCGTCCGGGGTTTTAATCCGTGGTAATTACGGATCTGAGTCAACCGCGGCCTTGGCCTGCTTTCGGTGGATTGTCTCTCATTAAGCATGCGGAGACATGTGATGGTCCCACGCGCCAACCTTTGAGTGCAACCCTTGCCACAGGGGTTTCTCCATGGGGGAGGTGGAGTATATAGGACTGGCAAAGCTTATAAAAAGGCCATCCAAGCCCAGACAGACCTGGCTCTTCTTTTCAACTCATCCGCACTCGCTATACATACTTGACTGTCTTTTCCGGCACGCCGTTCATAATATCTTCTATTTTTTAGTCTATCAATCAAGATGAAGTTCTCCACCACTCTGATTGCCCTCGTTGCTGCCGGCCTCGCCAGCGCCCAGCTGCCCAATGTGCCCGCTTGCTCAGTACGGAGAAAACAAATGCCCCGTCACAAAATATATCTGCTAACACATGTCTCTAGCTGAGCTGCTTCCTCTCTGCTCTGCAGAGCGATGGTTGCTCTGAGCTGCTCGACTTCGCCTGCCACTGCCAGAAGACCGAGCTCGTTAGCAGCATCACCCCCTGCGTTGAGAAGGCCTGCGAATACAAGGACCAAGTCTGTATGTTAACACCTACTTACTCCACCCATCCAAACACCCCACTAACCCACCCATGCAGCTGTCTCCAACGCCGTCGTTGACCAGTGCTCCTCCGCCGGCCACCCCATCTCGATCCCTCCCATCGAGACCAGCGCTTCCTCCAGCGCCAGCGCCTCGAGCTCCGTTCCCGCTGAGACCACTGCCACTCCCACTGAGTCCGCCAGCGAGAGCTCCAGCGCTGTTGAGTCCACCTCCGCTGTTGAGACTGGCAGCACCACCACTGGTACCACCGCCACTGGATCCAAGCCTGTCGGCTCCTCCTCCGGTGCTGCCACCTCCACCCCGCTGGTGAGCAAGACCGGTTCGGCTAGCCCCTCTGCCTCGTCGCCCGCTTTCAACGGTGCTGCCAATGTCAAGGGCAACCTGGCTGGTGTTGCTGCTCTCGCCGCTGCTGCCGCTTACGTCCTGTAAATATATCTATACCTAATCTGAGGCTGTTGTCGGTGCTTGCGACTGGCTTGTGTTGGCAGATGGGATTCGCTTCCTCCTTTTGCTAGGTAGGTTGGTTGTTCGAGACGGCTGAATGGGTTACCTCCCTGTATAGTTGATATGCTTAATACAATACGTCTTGTTTTACCTCTTGGGTGAAACGGATGTTTATGATTTGGTCTCTGTTCTATTTGCTTAGTCTTGTAGTGGGTAAAGTACATAGGCTTATCCAGAAAAGGGTATGTTAATGGGCAATATAGACATCCAAATCAAAAGTTTGGTCGCACCACTCCAAGTTGGATGCATGTATTCGAGAAACGCGTATTACAGCGCCAATTGATAGACCTTTCTACGTGAGGACATAGGTATTTTCGCTGCTGCGGCGAAACTAGAAAAGGTCTTCGATATTACACCCAGTGCTAAGCAACGTAGATAGGACCTCGAAAATGGCTACTTTTGGCGCCATCTTAAGCGTTATATTTACCAAAATCCTAGTTACAAAACCCCAAAGGCGATATTTGAGTCAATTGAAGTCATGAGGGGTAATTCTTATGTGTCATCAAAAGGAAACATGAAAATTATCACAGTAGAGCAGCCATTGCAGCAGCCACCATAGGAGCAGCTGTAATCAAAGCACCCGCGGGTCCAGGAGCACCGCCAGTTGACTGAGTTGTCTCGACCGATGTCGAACTTGATCCCGTTGGCAATCCCGCGGTTACCGTCAACTGGTAGTATGAATTGGACATTGGCGCAGTGGTATAGGTCGCCTTGCTGGAAGTGGAAGATTCATATTTCCCTCCGTCCACAGATCCGCTCATGCCGACACTCATAGTGCAGCTGGCTGACTCAGTCGAAGCTTTCAGCGAGCACTCGTAGGACTGGGTGAGAGTGATATCATAGCTGGTGGACTTGTCCGAGGTGGATGCGATATATTTCCCCGTGAAGCTGACTGTCTCCGGGCCTTGGACAATCGTCCACGGAGTGGGATAGTTGCAATCTGTCTTGGGAGCGTCTTTCAGACAGCTGACATGGTATGTGGCGGCCGCGGTATTGTGGGTAACCAGGCTGGCGGCAGTGCTTGTCCAACCGCCGTACTGGAGTAGGCCCGCGTCCCAAGCAGGAGAGAAGTAGCCAATGACATCGCTGCTGGTATCGTCGGCTTGGGTACCCAGTGTAGCAAGGGCTGCAGCGAGGAAAAAGGAGGTACGCATTTTGATAGTTGTCAGTCCTTGACACACTATGAAGTGGGAAATGGAGGAGAACGTGCAGAGAGATGAATTTACAAAATGCAATTGACGAAAGCGCCCCTTTAAAGAAAAGTATCAAGCTGTTTACTTAGCTTGCGGGGCTTGGCTCAATGGGTAGCGGAAGACGAGAGAGACCATAGCGAGCGAGCCTCCGGAAGCCCTAAATTTTGTAAAGCTCCCTTATTGGCTTGAGTCCGTTTGTCCGTTCTCTTTGATCCCACTCTGGTCCACTCGTTGGGTATTGAAACGTTGTGGCTGACCGGAGACAGTGCTAGCAACCGGCTATATTACTAGCGTAATACGGGAAATGAATGAACTAGTGGCCAAAAAATAGATAGAACGTGGCACTTGGGCGCTGCCACGGTAGTCAAATGTGTTATTCACATAGCATTTCGAAAGGGTCTTAGGGATGTACTTGGCCGATTCTTGGAGGCTTTTTGATAATTTCGGATCGTACCCACAAGGACCAAACCCTCCATAGCCAATCTCTGACACATACGTCGGGTTATGCATACTACAGAGTATTCCTGCATACATACATAACTAGTATGCACATGATATGGAGCTAGAGCGGACTAGCTCCACTAGGTGCAGGGCCTTTCCGGACCTTCCGGCTATGCGGCTAAGGCTCTCTGAGTCACTCAATTATTATGGGTTGATGCATATGTTGTACAGGAAGCATGAGCTTTGAATTACCTCTTTAGTTCTCTGGATATTTCTATCATCCTTTACGACCTTATCTACAGAAAGATGCAAAACACCAAAGCCTCTAGGAGCATATATAGTGTCTTAGAAAAATTCAATCCTTTTTCTTTATCAATAGGAATAAGCTAGATCAGCACCTATTCAGACCTACGCACGCTATGTCGCGCATAGATTGATCGGTGATAATATTGAGAAAGGACTAATCGTCCATCTAATAAGACAAGGGAATATTTTTATCTGTCAAGCTACCAACACCTAGTCTCCCCTTCTATCAATTGATATAGTTCCCTAACTCCCTACCGATTCGATACTTCCTATAATAGAGCTTTTGAGTAACCCGCTCTCTATCTACATACTAATGATCGTGTTATTCCTAGCAGGTGCGCAACGCGGATCAATGCTCCCTAGAGGGCTGTCCAACTCTTCTACCTACATATGTATCCAATCGGGTTTAGGTCGGGAAATCCACTAGTCTTCTTCACTGCTAATCAGGGGTTTCTCTTGAGCAGTTCCAGTTTGTCTATGCGAGGTTAGGAAAATGCTTGCCAATGATTGATTGTGGATTACATCTTTAGATATAGTGCCGGATTCTTCATATCTATTGAGAGCGATGCAAAATGTAAAGAGGCGTATGTGGTGGGAGTCATTTACAGCATAATAACTGAAGCACATGTATAGATCTAAATCAAACCTTTAGTAACATCAACAGTGTTTTTAACGACACCAAACTCGACCCTATTAGACTTGGGAATAATGATGTACGGCTTTCCTTCGTTGGCAACAGGGTCAACAACATCGCTACCCACCCAGGGTGGCACTTTTACCACGGTATTAGCATTTTCTTCTCGATTATCCCAAATCCACCATTTCACGCGGCCACCCTAATACTAGAATCGATAGGAGTCACCGATCGCCGTATCGGGGTGTAAGTCATCTAGATCAAGCATGATTCGCTCAGTCCAGCTCTCCCCTGGTTGCAGGTTCAAGAAAAGCTCATCATTAGTGACATTGACCTTAACGTCAGGTCCCTCCACATTGATGCAGGATATTCCATTAGTCGTATGATACGCCTCCCACTCCAGAGCGTCATCGTCCGAGTCCCATATATCATAATCGCGGTTGCGGCGGTGTAGTCGAAAGTTCAAAAATGAAAAAGGAAGACTCTAGATAATGATTGGTTTTGCCTCTACAAGGACTATTTCGCCATCCTCGCAGGTCAGGCCGCCGTCGTAAGTCACCTTCATTGTGACCGTAACCCTTTCATCCTAAATCATGGCAGATGGGCCTTCCAGGGGACACAGTAAGACAAGGTGCTCCAGGGCTGTAAAAAAAACTTCAAGAGGTTAATAGATTTAAAACGGAAACACTTCGGCTTTCCATATATCTTACGTTCGCTCAGACTTTCTAACAGGTGGCGGAGAAGGTGTGCGCGGGAAAATTTTTATCTCCTCTATAACAGTGAGGGGGGTATAGACTCCTCCAGGAATGATAGCGCATGGTAGTCTGAGGTTCGCGCCGTTTTGTTGGCCCACCTGCTCACGGAAGGTGCCCCAGTCCCATAGAGTATATTCAGCGCCTGGCCAGAGTAACTCATACTTCTCACCTACGACCAGGTGGTCCCAAGGGGGTTAGATCACCTAAATTCCTTTTGAGATATTGGCCAGGAAGAAGCTCTTCGAATTCAACGTCCCATTCTGTAAGTTTAGGAGGTAGGGGCCGGTGGTTTCCTTTGACCTTTTTCAAACCGTTTGTAGTGTGTTGGAGGATAAAGCCCGAGGGACCCCATGCATCAGATGACAAGCGCAGCGGAAGACGCAGAGCTTGTTGCTGCCATCTTCCTCTCGACGGACTACAGCAAGGATCCCCAGCGGCTCAGCGGGGAGACAGTTAAACTAGGTGCTATCTCGAGGGAGAGAACAGGCGTATTCAAACTGAGTGTTTGTAAGTACTTGAATACCCTTATGACAAATGGTATAGATAGTTCTAAAGCTGAAGTAAAAGACTCACAGTCTGTCATATTCAAATATTCTGACACTTTTTGTAAGTTCAGGTTCCATGATGGAAAGAACGAAGTTGGATTATGAAGTATTGCGAGGGCTCCAGGGCTACTACATATGTATATATGTGTGGGAAAAAATACGGCATATTTTACCACCAGACCATAACAAAAAGCTCCGTTCCTGTTTAGGGTTAGGGGGCGATATCCCAGTCTGGCAATGTACTGTCGATGCAATTCCAGGACGAGCCCACTATTGTCTGCTGGGCAGTTTATCTTTATTAGTAAATAGGTACAATGAAGACCAGAGTTCTCGTTTTATTTAATTGGCCAGAACCTTTTGTACTTAACTTATACAAAGTCACAACAAACTGGCGGAAATCTAGGCATGACGAACGTACCAATAGGTGGGTGTCGGGAGTTCATATGTGAGAATTTCTACATATATAAAGGTCAAATCCGTCGCGGCACCGGTATCTTTCCCTATTACAGAGGAATGGACATCTCACCTTGTTTATTCGTGCTTTCCAGACAATTCAACCGTTTTCGAAGTTTCTTTTGGCATTAGTTGGTTTCGACCTTTTAAAGAAGCTCCATAAAGAGCTACAATCAGATTACTACCTTTTGTTGCTTAGCAGGGAACCGTGATTATATGGAAAATGGAAGATGAATAGTTGCTATAAAAAGGGAAAAGGGCAAAGTATCGCATCAATGGAACCACAATACATACCAAGAAAGTCTTGGTATTAATACTTATTGACCAGAGGCCGGTACTCGGCCTCCCACATCTGGATTCGAATCCATTCTCGCAGCTCGGAGTCCGTGGTAGGAATGCCCTCGGCCTGCGCAAGTCCCTCCTCGACGGCAGATAAGGTCACAGCCGCGGCAATATCCACACTGATATCACGTACGTCTTGCACATCGGGCAGCAACGGCTTATCGGAGTCTTTCAGGGCGGGCGACCGTGCCTTGAGTGCCTTTACGGCAGCGACTAGCATCTTCTTGGACAGGAGGCGGCACTCCGAGAGGACTGCTCCAAGACCAACGCCTGGGAAGCAAGTTGAGTTGTTGCATTCCGCTAAAGTATCATGGTTAATATACTGAGCAGTCAATATCTGAGAGGTTTGAATACATACCGATGTCATGTTCCGTACCGTTATAGGTTACTGGTGGGAATGGGCTGCCTGTGGCAACGAGGGCTCGCCCTTCGGTCCATTTGTAGAGATCAACTGGCTTCGCCTCGTGGAGTCGTGTCGGATTGCTGAGGGGGAATATAATTGGTCGCTCTACGTTCTTGGCCATCTCACGAATTATATCTTCGGTGAATGCTCCGGGCTTGGTCGATGTCCCGATAAGCATATGGGGATGTACCTTTTTGACGACCGAAAGCAGACCTCGGTCACCGTCCGACCACTCTTTATCATCTCGTGCGAAAAATTGCTGGCCTTCTGTCAGCTTGTCACCGAGGGATTTTACAAGCAGACCGGGCTTGTCGATGCACCTAGATGAAAGAACAGTTTTAGCAGGGGTGTTGTCTCCCTGTCTCGCGGTGACATACCAGATCTGCTTGGATGCTTCATCCTTTGATTTTGCTGTCTCAGTGGCGATGGTATCTGAAATCTGCTCGGCAATGCCAATACCAGCCGTTCCAGAGCCGAAGATCACTACTCGCACGTCTTCCAGTTTGACTTGGCTGACTTGAAGGGCAGCCAACATGGCAGCGAGTGTAACACACCCCGTGCCCTGGATGTCATCATTGAAACAGGGTATCTGTGACTGATACCTGTTGAGTATCCTCCGTGCATTATAGAGCCCGAAATCCTCCCTGGTATGGTTAGCCGTGCTTCGAACAAAAGTGAAAGAATCATTTCTCATACAAGTGGATGTAGGCCTTAGGGAATCGTTTGCGGGCAGCCTTCACAAATCGATCCACAAATTCATCGTATTTCTCCCCTCTGACCCGGCGCTGTCGGAGGCCTAGATACAGTTCGTCATTAAGCAACCTTTCGTTCTATATATAGTATCAGCAAACGTAGATTCAACCAGATATCAGGTGTACCTACATCTGTCCCGCAATCCAGTACAACAGGAAGCTGTCGTGAAGGATGGATTCCAGCACAGAGCGTGGTAATAGCCAGTTTGGCAACCGATATGAGAATGGCGCCCACACCCTGGTCCCCAATGCCCAACACCTGCAAACAGATCAAAGATAAGCAAGGTCACACATTAATTCTCTCTCGAGTAGTTATATAATTACCCCTTCCCCATCACTGACAACGACATAATCAACATCATCCGCAGTCCCAAACTCAGCGAGATACTCTTCAAAGTGATCCTGGTCATTGATATTCAAGAAACACCCTTCCGGCTTCCTAAACAACCGCGAGTAATTCTGAACCGCATCTCCCTCGGTTGGCGTGTATATCACGCTGAACATCTCCATGAGATGGGTTTGCACGAGCTATTCACGGGTTAGTAATGATGCACATCCTGGTGTTGCCTTAGCCGGGAAGATCTCAGAACCTTGTAGTACAGCACTTCATTCTGGGCCTTCATGCTAGCTAGGAAGGTGTTTTTGGCTAGGTCATCTGGTCTGCTTTGATACTGCTGATACGCGCGCTGAACTTGCTCGTCCAGTGTTTGGATGTTTGGCGGGAGAAGACTGTGGAGCTTGAATGTTGATCGCTCATGGTCTGGGAAGGCCGAGCCTTTGTTTAATTGGGATGATTGGAGGAGAGATCTTCCCTGGTTCTGTGTGAGAATCGGACTTTGTAAAAAGACCGGACTTGCGTTTCGTCACCTTGTATGGGCAGGTCAAAGGCCTCGGGGCGCGGGGTAGACTGCGGAACTTGGATTTGGAGTTTGACATTTCGAATGAATATCAGATGTAATGTCAGAATACCTGAATCTTCTGAGATATGAAAAGGGAATGTCTAAAGTACATATGTAGGTATGACATAGTGGTGTTCCACACCCTGTCGTAATCATCAAGCTTCTCGCCACGGACATTTGGAGAACATGTCACAGTTCCGTATATAGAAAAGATATTGCTAATTTTAGTTCAGTGATTTCCTTTCACCTCATAACTTAGGCGCTAGACAGATGCTGCTAACTGGCCAGAGTAACAAAGTGTATCCCGAACTAACCTCAATATCAATAGACTTAGGAAGCACTCTCTTGCCACGCAACCCACGGTGCTTCAAGCCGTTTCATTACCAGTCAAGTATAACATCAGTTTATGCGAACATTACGAAATTCTATATTCCATTAGCCTTTGAGTCCTTACGCTAATAAAATGGTGGTTACGGTGCCGGTGACATTCATACCTTCCTCGGACTTGCGAACAAGCTACGGAGAAGATTCAAAGATTCACAGTATGCACAGTCGCAGTAAGGAACACATTTCTGAGGAGTGGGATATCTATAAGTACCAAAACCTCCATAGACGATCTCTTACATAGCTCGGGTTATAAATATGCATAGTTACTCAATAATGGGTTGATGCCTACGAGCCGAGAGCTTGGAATTAATTCTTTAATTCTCTATATATTTCTTCTTTAATGACCTCATCTACGGGAAGATACAAACACCAAAGCCTCTAGGAGAATGTATAGTGTTTTAGAACAGTTCTACCTTGTTCTTATACGAAAAGCTAGATTAGCATCAAAATACGAACACGATATATCGCGCATGAATTGATAAGTGATACCTAATATTAATGAAAGACTAATTGTCTATCGAATGAGAAATGGAATTTTTTAATCTGGAAAGCTCGCCAACACCTAGTCTGCAAGTTCCCCTTTTGTCAATTTTGATACAGTTATTCCCCAACTGCCCACCCATTCGATACCGAGTAATCCATCTATGCACCAATAATCGTGTTGATTTCCCCCGCCGTAGGCGCACGAGTCGGATCGATGCTTCCTAGAAGGCTGTCCCAATCTTCTACCTATTCAATCTGAATAAGGTTCAGGTCGAGAAACCCAGCAGCTACTCTTCTTCGCTGCTGATCGGGGGTATCTCTCGAGTAATCCCAGTTTGTCTGTGCGAGGTTAGCGAAAATGCTTGCCAAAGAGTTGAGCGGCAAGAGACACCAGGACGTACAATGAATTATTGGGAAGGCTGTGCCCTCTTATAGTCGGATCAGCCAGGGACTGGAAATAAAGACCAAGTCCCCCTGTTCTGTACTTACGTATTACCTACCCTTCAGTATCCTGTCATCTCAATCCAAATCAAGCCATGCTCTTCTTAGTATCGAGCTTTTCTAACGCAGCAAGTCTTCCCATTCTTTTCAACCAGACCCTCAGGTCAAAAATTCCATCGCTCAAATCCTTCCGATTCCCTTCGAATTTGAATGTGTATCCAACCTCGTCTGCGGGCTCCTTGCCATCGGCACAGTGAATGCGGCAAGGGCTAGCTTGGTAGTTATTTATTTCATATGCCGCAAGCCTTTCCCCATGTTCAACCGTTTTAACATGATACACTGTGCCCTCAACCTAGGAGCCTGGAGCATCTAATAGTGCAGGCTATTGCCCCCATAACTTGCACTCATAGCCCGATAAACGTGCTGGGTGTAGCTCGGGCTCGGTTCCAGGCCCAAAATTTCACGGACCATTGACGGGTCGGTCAAGGTGCCATAGAAGAAATAGGGCCCAGTATGTGCGTCGAACAAGTCCACGTACTGGGGTGGATTTGTTGCTTGGAAGAAGTAATCTGAAGGGGCGGTTCTGAGTTTTAAGACGTAACTGGAGATTTTCGAGCCAGGAATTTCGGTTGGCGGTGGTGTTGGGGGGAGGTGCTGTTGAGATTCATCTGGTCTCTTGCAGAACGCGGCGTTATTGGGGTTGGATGGCAACGATTATTTGCACTCGAAGAAGAGGGATAGAAGGTTGGAAGCCCTGGTGTCTGTTATATAATCACTGCGGGACCCACCCGGGCGCCCTGGCGGGTCCACCGGGGCCGATGTCTGGGCTCTACCAGGTCTGGGCCGGTTACCCGCTGACGCTAGCAGTAGTCCACGCCCCCACCACCAGCGCTTACTGAGGTACATAGCGGTTATCTACATTTACTGATATTATATACAACCAGAGCCTAACTTTATGGATGTGGATCTTCCATCGAGTCAACAATGTTTCAGAGACGTCCCCGAGGAATAGAATGGCTTACTGTAGTGGATCGAGAGCCAATCGATGAGAGCAACAAGCGCCAGAGGGTGATATTCTTAGCTGTTTCATGGAGTATGTGGGCTTACTTGTGGCGGGTTTGAACGGTGTCGTTGAGGCTGCTTGGAATAATAGTAGCCGGATGTTCTGGATGTGGACATGTATATTTGAACCAATGTCTGTTTTCTGCTCCGTTACGAGGAAAGGTACAGAAAGGCCTAAGGGACGATATATAAATATATCTTAGATACCTTTCCCTAAACAGCCACCCTTTCTCCTTTTTATAATAGATATTCACTCGGTTATAGTCCAGAGACAGTTAGGTGCTAACCAGGTGGTTCGATGGTAACAAAAAGAAAATTAGAAAGCACCGAGTGGGCTGATACTTCACGATATCTGCCGGTATTGCAATCGCACGCTCTCCCGATGACCTAGCGCTCTTATTTGAACAATGTTTCGTGGTTTATTTCGCAAGGACGACAAAATGCATACTTCATGATGTGGCAATACATGGTCCACTCGGCGAAGGAATAATAGCCTCCAGGGCTGCATGACTGCTCCTTTTCGGGTCTTTGTCAGCCTGATCTTGACGCACTGACACCGCTTTTGTACGCAGAAAAATGCGCCAGTGAACAGGTTGAAGATAAACATTTTGGTGATCAAAGCAGGGAATTAACCGAAGATGAGAACAAGGTCGAAATTAAGGATTTCATGCTATACTATGACTTTGGAACGAACTGGCCTTGTATAGGAAAAGTGGGAGTCAATCGGTATGCTCAATAAAGGCCTATTCTCTAGCGTGCTACTACATCCGATCCGAGACAGCTCAGACATGATAACTGAACATTTGGTATTAGCCACAAAATGAACGTATGAAATGAATGGCCTTGAATCTATCATTATGCAACTAAGCCCAGAATTGATAACTTAAATGTGTACAGCTATCGAATAGGGAAGTGAGGGCCTGAAAATTGCCATATCAAGCAAAAGATATCATGCAAATGTTATATGTTACAAACTGTTCAATGATATGGAACCTATGTGAGCCAACGACATAAAAAACCGAGCTAAAAAACCGACCGATAGAAACAGCTTGACTTATGGAACCCATAGACGCATGAATCCTACGACTTCCTGGCGACAAGTCACGCAACTGCCGAAATTGTTCATGGCAAGGCTAACGCGACAGTCCTCGCAAATGCATAGACAGCGACAGGGCCACGTGATGATAGCCCGTGGGCTTGTCTGGCAGACCACACAAGGGGGACCATTGGGGCCGAGGCCTGTTGCGCCGGATTCCCACGTATGGGCATCAGAACTGCCCGAGGTTTCCGAGCGACGGGCAAGGATGAGCTTCTCGAGGAGCTCAGCTTCCTCTTCCGGGGTAGGCTTCCGCGTTTCAGATCCTGAGTGCATGGCGTTGAGCTGCTGTAGGCGGGATGAGAAGATGATCCGGGATCTCTCCTGTTCAACTTGTTTCTGGTAGCAACTGCGCGTCATGATCTGTGGATTGTCCTGGTTTGTTTTGAGATGCGCGGCTAGAATTCTGGCTTCTTCTCTACTGTCGCGATCGCGTGGGTCAAGAAGACGGGCGAGTGTGCTCATGTCGAGCAGAGGATCTTGAAGTGGTGGGCTTGCTCTGTCTGCGTACGGCTCGAGCTGGGTAGGAGTTCGACGACCATCTTCCGATGGGTAATCTTCCCATTCTGACTCCGAGGCATTGGTAGACATGGACAACACGCTCGTAGTGTCGAAGTCATCAGAGGGCGGGGCATAATCAGAGGTTTGATCTTGGTTTCCCCATGCGCCGCCGATTTTCCACCAGCTGTACAATCTTTCGTCTAACCGGCTTTCATCCGAGCCCATCCAGTCTGGCCGATTCGCGCGCTCCCGCTTCCTCATCTCAATCTCAACATCAAAGTCGTAGTCATCGGGAAGCTCAAGCTCTCCATTTTCCGAGAGGATCCAGAAATCCAAGGGCTGTGATGGGTTCATCTTGTCAATATTAGACTTCTTTCTACGATGACCCACCATGCGTTTGAGCCACATTGGCCGAGCGCTTATTCCCAGTCGATCAAGCACATTACTGAGCCCGTATGCAACCCAACGGAGCACTATGAGGGAAATTGCGCGGAAGAACGAGAGGACATGCCACAATCTGATAGATACTCGCACGGCGCCAACGCCCCCAAGCTCGGCTCGAGATTGCACGGCTCGAGCACCGTTCTTGGGTTTCTCAACCTTCTTTTCGCGGTTGTAACCACTCTCCCAAGCGGATTGTTCCGGCATGTCAAAACTTGAGAAACCCATAGCTTCGATGGGTCGACTGCTGGGTTCACTCTGCCAATCCCCAAAAGATGAAGCTTTCCGCCTCGAAGCTTCAATCTCAGAAAGGCGATCCTCTTCTAACCACGTCATCCGCCGTGCAACGACCGATTGGCCTTCGTTCAAGAAAACAGCGTCACTTGCCGCGGTTAGGGCGACATAGCCGATTCGAAGCAGCGTCGTATAAAAATCTTCGTGTCTGTTTATACGAATGCTTCTTATCTGGTTCGAGCCCTGCATATTCTCGTGCGCCATCAAGAAACGATCATAGAGTGAGACAGGTTGGTCATCAGTAGGCAGCGAAACAGCAGTGATGGTAAGTGCTAAAGTGTATATTGAAAGACAAATCACGATGCCGCCCAATAAAAAGATATGAGGGATGAATCCCACAATGCAAACAGTCGGGAATCTGAGAACGCCGGTTTCGAGGCTGACGGGTGGACCGCCATCTAATCCCCATAGCATGGCTACCATGAAGCAGGCACCCCAAAAGGCGGTGCTGAAAAGCCGATATTTGCTCTGCTTCCCGAAGACTTCTAGTACGTGGGAAGTTGCACTATTGCAGCACGAGATCAATACAATAAGCAGCAGTTCAGGTGTGACATTCATGCGTTCCAAGACTTGCGATCTTGTGAGGAGTTCAAAGACCGAAGTTGAGCTGTCATCAGACCCACCCGAAAGCGCACTGAGAGGGCTTTGTTTAGGAAGACCGAACAGGCCTAGTCCGATAGATTTACTGATCATCGACTCGGCTTCTGCGAACGCGATGGAGTGTTCGAAGATGGACATCCCTGTTTCAGTCATCACAGGCCTTCCTTGTAATGCGCACGAGAGTGTTTCAATAAAGTGACTCAAGCAGAAGAGCATGAATGTTGGCCAGAGTAGGGAAAATGATCCATATGGGACGCCAGGATTGGTTCCGCGCGCCATCTTCACAGCACTGCACGACCGTTCCTCAGACTCCCATCCTAAAAATGTCGAGCTAATCGAGTAAAGAATGCCCCCATCACTGGAATAGTCGAACACAAGTTGCTTTCCGGGATATCCGTAGCGCATTGTTGAAAAAGAAGGCGATGTTTGACATCGGATTCCACGGAGCAGGCTGAGGATTTGGGAGGCGAAGAGAACGATAGGGATCAATCGTAGAGCCGCGCGCCTTTCCCAGCCTAGTCGAAGGTGTCGCCGTGTGGATGCATAGATGGTAATTCGGTTGAGGATGAGCGCCTAGACCTATCAGTATGGTAAGTATACAAATTGAGAGCGGGGTCTCACCTCCACTAGACAGGCAAATGACCAAAGACTTGTCAGATACCCAAAGAATCCGCCTAGCTTCTTCATGGCGCCCAAGAACTCAGCAATGTAGTAGCCACTCTCCTGGCCGGCCGCATCGGCGAACTCATTTCCAGCCATATCCGCTGCATGCGTTGCGGCCGTTCCGCTGGCTCCAGCTGCTGAACCAGCCCCGCTCCAGATGGTTTGGCCAAGGGCTTTAATTCCGGTTATTCTGGCGAGAGTCTCGGGAACCGTTCGGAGGGCAAACTTCTCGGCTTGTTGAAAGGCGCGAAGGGGGGAGGTCAAGACTTGATGCGGCAAAGAGGACAAAGGAGAACCTTCCGGCGATAACGTTGTATTCAAATGCTGTAAGAAAGCTGCGCTAGATGTAGTCGGTATCGTTGAGGGCTCCACGATGCCTGACATGATGAGTCGGTTTTGTATGCGCCTCTGCGGGTGACCCTTATCAGTGATCCGGGGGAGATGCAATCAACACGAAAGGCCGCCAGTGCATCCGACTATGGGACCAGGCAAATAGAATGTTCAATAGTCAAGAGATGTTATGACTAGACTGGAGACCACAGTGAGCAATGCTCCTGTGAACTGCATCCCGCAAATCGAAACGTACGAAAGAGTGATCTTCACAATGGCGGGCACTTCCTTGGAAGTTCGCCCCGGTGGAGCCGGCCCCAGCCCTCGGTATTTGCTATTTGCTGACTCAGCCACCGAAATCTCGGGCAGTCATGTAGCCAGCTTCCACTAAGTTGATATACTCTGGCCATCTTAACTATGGAACTCTATAATATGCATGTCATTTTCGTACTGAAGTTGTCTCCTATGATCCAAACCGTTTGCCAGTGGTAGATTGACAAGCGCGTTATCATTGGAAGTGTTGATATGCCATCATCTTTAGACAAATTCGGCCATAGATATATTAACCGTTTGCATATGCTCAGATGGGATAACGAGTTTTTGTGCAGAAATCCAGGGTACTGCTACAGCAAAGATGAAAATATTAGGAAAATGTTAGATGTATTCTACCCCACAGAATATATGCCATGGTATGATGCCATGACCAAGCGTATGTATGTGAGCTAATCCGGAACTCCCCATGGTATTGTCGTAAAGTAGAATAACAGTCATTGCGCCGTGAAATCATTTCGAAGGATGTGACCGGAAACAAGGATCGATACCTGGGGTCTTAGTCAGGGAGGTGATAAAAAACCAAGGGCCCAAGGCACCACGTGTAAATCAAGTATTCAAGAAATCAGCAGCCATCAGGAGTTCCAAGCACAACTCAGGTGGAATATCCATGTCCGGCACGTTGACCTGGTCCTTGTGCTTTTCATTGTAGCAAAAGTATTCGCAGATCTTTTCGACAACGACCCCACTACAGAGAAAGAACTTTGTTAGCGATGTCCACCAAGAATAATGAGGGAGATAAGCGTGAGACATACGAGTAGTCCTCCAACACACATCTACCAGTGCGACCCTCGGGGAAGTTGGCTGTGGGTGGTTAGTACAACCCATGCAGCAATGGATCTCGAGTCCACGTACTCGAAGATAGCATGAGCCGGAAGGTCTCTGAGACACAAGCTGCGCTGCGAGGGATAATGAATTCAAATCCGTCGTTTGAGACTATAGTCACGAACTCGGAGTCCGTGGATGGCGCCATGATGAAGCACGCGTAGGCGCGTAGTTGTAGGAAAGTGGCCGCCGTGGAGCGAAAGAGCCTTTTTGAGGTTGGTGTGTTGGTCCGTGCTGAAGCTGCCAATGACGCACCAGATGCTCTGCTCCCGATATCACGTTTCGCTTGGAGTTCAGAGAAGGTAAAACAATATGGGCAGTTTGGGAGTTCCTCTGATTCGCTTGCGAGCGCCTATCCTATTTCACCGAACCCCACCATGGCCGATAAATTTACGCAATGTAGGCTACGTCAGCAGCCAAGTATCAATTCATTCTCTGGGATATACGAAGCGATCATACTCATCTCAGCGAAATGAAAACAACACCAACCTTTCATTTCAGCCTGGAAACCGACTTGCCGCCCGAAAATGCATGATTACTGGTGGGACGTCCGGCATCGGCTTCGCCATTGCCGAACGATTTCTACAAGAAGGCGCATCGACCATAGTCCTCGTCGGCCGATCTCAAACACGCCTAGAGGAAGCAGCCGCAAAACTCAAGTCTGTCACAGTTACACCACCAGACCTTGGTGGAAGTAGCGATGAAATCGCAACTTGCGCCCCAGCAGAAGGCAACCAGCAAAGCACTCAAGGAAAGATCCGTCTACTTGTCGGAGACGTCTCAGATGCCGGCTCATGGATGCGGGAACTCGAAAAGGAAATGGTAAGATATCTCGTCTATCTCAACGAATACTCTTCTCCTAACTATCATCCAGGCAAATATAGACGTCCTAGTCAACGCAGCAGGAATCTCGATATCAAGTATTCTGCCAAGATCCGAGCTGGAAGATATATCCACGATCCTACGGACTAATCTCGAAGGCGCAATGCTCACTTCGCGCGCATTAATGCGTGCCTCTATCCGGAGCCGGATACGGAATCGGAGTGATCCAGCTACGGGGACCAACCCCCCTTCGAAATGCATTATTAACGTCTCCTCTTTACTGGCGCTCAGGGGCGGAACCGGCGCAGTTCCATACGCTGCTTCCAAGGCTGGCCTTCTTGGTCTGACACGGTCATTGGCTGTTGAGGCATCGACTTCGATGAAAGATATTGTTATTCGGTCAAACGCTATTGTGCCGGGGTATATTGAAACACCTATGATTACAGGTATGTTGGTTTGGGCATCTATTTGTTTGTCCTTTAGTTGATCTCGATGGTAGACTTCACACCTGGGGAAACAAGTAGGCTGAAGGATCTAATTCCTCTTCATCGATTTGGAGATCCACGCGAGATTGCTGATGCGGCTGTTTTCTTGGCGCAGAATGAATATGCCAACAATTGTGTGCTCAATCTCGATGGTGGCCTTAGTGCCGTTTGATTCGATCCAGGTGAGACGTGTAATACCAACGAAACAAGTGTATTTGTAAAGAACCCATACACTACAATATCAGGACGTTGATTTGGTCATTGAATACCTAACAAGGATTTTGGTAGTGTTTTCTATTGTAAATAGCGAGCTAAACATATGAAATCCCATTCCTTCTTCCTGACACAAAAGCTTCCGACGTTGATATTGAAATTTCTGGTTTGCACACTACGTATATACATTTTTAGACTTCCATCGAGGCGACATCCGGGTCTCCACGTGTTTCTCATAAGCTTTCGGAGGGTCGCTTCGAAGAAACACCATATACTTGGATATCTAACGTCAACTCCGCCCTTACTAGTCTCCACTCCTTCCACTACAAGTCCGTCAATCCACGCAGGATTCGTCCCCAAACGCAAGCTTGATACTTTGCCCAGGCCGCACTGCTATTCTCAGGTCTTATTCTAGTAATCTATGAACCCGGAAAACGCCATTGAGCAGTTGATACAAAAATCCCCATAATGCATTATCATGTTCGTATCCAAAGCATGCCCGTCGACCTGGGATTTTGAACACCTCCGGTTGACTGAAATCAAGTTCGCCTTTATGCCATATGATACAGAACGGGTTGGGGGGGTGAGGTAGCAATCAAATAAAAAAGGGAATACCGAAAGTATGAAAGAAATGATATCAAGATAAAGACCTGTCATGGGGGCTAGTGATACCTTGAGATGCCACGTGAAACCAAGCCTGTTTTCAGCATTTAATCATCGATCATTATGGCACCTCCCTCATCACCATTTGCATCATCCTCAAGAACGATAGCTTCAATGCCCTTCGAGTCAGGAACGGATGCACTGGCGAGCCGTTTCGCATCGTGGCTGCTGAGCTCCACCTCGTCATTTGAGCCCTCACGCTTGCGCTTCCCAGTCACAGTTGCACCATCGGTAGTTGCTGCAAGATCGGTAGAAGGCTGTACAAGTCGCTTGGGCTTCAGGGGTATCTCGACCATCCTGTGCAGCGTTACGGGCTTGGAGTCCTTGGAAGACGGCCCATTTCTGCAAATCAATCAGTCAACATTGCCAAGCATTCTTGTAAAGACGGCACTTACCTTGTCATTATCACCACCTCGAGATCGATTCGCGTATCTGGTTCATTCTCATCTTTTACCGTGACGAAGCTCTCATTCTTAATGCCAACGTCAACCAACTTCCTCGTCAAATCATCGGTGAACTCTGAGTCATAAAGCAGTGTATCGCTAATAGTAACGGAAAGGTCTTCGCCATAACCCAGTTCCCTCCGAAGAATGCCATGGACGAGGTGTCCAAGGGTTGCTAGCTCAGGGTCAATTTCGACTCGAGCGACCACAGGGGAACAGACAGGGCAATCGGGGTTCGGGGGGTTCAATGAGTCTGAGTTGATCGCACGAGCACCGGATCTCTCCAGGAAAATCTTTGAGAGCAACCGCTCGTTAGCTTTGGTAGTAGTTGGAACCTTGTTCGGTTCTTACCATTTTGGTCTGCATCAAGTTGTTTTGAAACACCTTCAATGACTGAAGAACACATAGTCCAGCTGTCATGGCATTGGTGGTTGCAATAGCAGGAATGATATTGCCCGCCATCTCTGTAAAAGTTCAGTTAACAATGATTGTTTTGGAATGTGTACCATTGTTGGAGGAACTTACGCTTGACGTCGAATTTGGATTTAAGTTCAACGTGGAAAATGGCAGCTCGTAGATTAGCTGTTGCCGTAACGAAGTCCAAAGTGTCCACGTCGTCTTTATCGAATGTCAGAATCGGGGAATCCTGGTCCGGGAGCGTCTTTTCTTGAAGTTGCTTCAGACGATGGGTCAACCGGTTCAGGCTGTAGCATTTTAGTTTATCGAACGTATACGGTCGGGGACAGACAGTTCCTACCTATCCCGGAAGATACTGAAATTCTCCCCCAATGTCCACACTTTCTGGTCCTGTGTGGAGATCGTCGAGGCAATCGAAGCGGATTCTTCTTGGAGTTGAGCAAAGTCAAGGGGCTCTGGCGGCTCCAATTCCTTCCACATATCTGTCATTCCCCGTAATCGTATTATGTCCCTTCGAAAAACTTTGTCAAAGACCTTCTGGTGGGCTCCCTCGGTACCAATCGATTGTCGCAACTCTTTGAGCTCCAGTGCTTCCCTGCGCAGTTCTTCAATTTCATTTGCTAGCCGGATGTCAGTTTCAGCGCCGTGTTATAGATGAAATCGAACCAACCGTTATTAGCGTCTTCTGTGCTGTCCACCTCCGGTGCCTCCTCGTCGCTATTGCCGAAAAGTTCCCTACTCAAGGATGAGTATTCAAAGCGGAAATGATAGGAGTGGATCTTACGGCAAGAGGAAGCTCTTCGCCCAGACGATGCAATGAATCGGCTGGCTGGGGTTGCTGCGGATCGTACACACGGGGAAGGACTTGGGGGATTGTTTCGGGGTGCAATCGTAGCACTCGGTTTGTGACTAGTATAATGCGCAGTCAATATACGCCCAATCTGTAGAACCAGTCACTTTTGCCATACCTTCTGAATAACTTGGACCTGGCCATTGAAGCCAGTAGTTCCACTTTCGATTAAGGGTACATTGGCTGTAAGGCACATCTTGTTCACATGACGTCTTGCGGCGATGTTATCTAGCGCATTAAACACGACGTTGAAGGACTCGAACCACGAGACGTTGAATTGATCATCCATAATGTTGGCATGGTAGGCCTCGAGCTTTGCGTCAGACCGGAACTTTTGCGCAACTTCCTTGGCAACCTAGATGAAAGTATCCATATCTCAGTATTCCATACTTACCATCGCTGGACCGCTGACATGATGCGAATGCGCGGCGCTTAACTCGGGGGGATTCGCAAGGCAGCGGCGCAAGTGCGCGGGGTGGATCGGTTGCACGTACTAAGGCCTTTGATTTCTTGATGTGTTCATGTCGAAAAAGGAACTGACGATTGAGATTGCTCAAATCAATGGTATCGAGGTCGATGATGTGGATTTCGCCGAACCCGGTGAGGACGAGGTTTTTCAGTAGCTCGCATCCGATGCCGCCTGCGCCGACTAGGAGAACGCGTGACTATATGTGATGAGAGGACTGTCAGAATATATTTTCAGGCCAGCGTCACTTGGACGCCAGGATTGCGCGCCAGTAGGCTGTACTTACCTCTTTGAGGGAACGGGTGAGGTCAACCCCGAGGGAGCGCTTGAGGGAGCTATCCCGCATGGCGGGCAGTAGATGATGATCGCGATCAGGTAGTGTTGTAGTGTTGTAGTGTTTTGTAATGCTGTAGTGCTGTATTGGTTTAATGGTGCAGTATTGTAGTGTGTCTGTTTAGAGATAAATTGCGAATTGGGGGGAACCTTGGAAAAGGTCAAAGAAGGAGTAAGTGAAAGAAGTGCTGAGCCGGAAACAGTGACCGTTTGTCGATGACGGCACTTGCGAGGAGCCTCACACGTGGGTTTCCACTTACTTTCGCTTTTCACCTTTTCTTTTTATTTGCTTTTCTAGTGAATGAAAAGAATAAAATGTACTTGTAGACTGTAATTGACGTTCTCTTATCTTTTCTACAAGTGATCGTCTTTGCATTCCGGCAATGTACAGGGCGCATATACTCTGATCGCCCTCCTTCTAGAATATGAGTGAACTTGAGTTTATTCCCAAAGTAAAAGGCGCCTGTTTCGTCCACGGATGGTCATGACGGATGCTATCCAGATATTCTTCTAGTCAGGTACCACATAGTCTAGAACCTGCAGAGCCCTGTGTGACTATGAACTACAACGTACAGACCTCTCTTGTTCTTATAGCGAATACTCCTAGATACAAGTTGGTATAACTGACACATACCATCACAGCGCATATCTGAGAGCTTTCTAGATACATTATGGGCATATTTTACCTGCTTACATAACCGGTGACTCTATCCAGAGACCATCGGGTCAAAATCTCGGTGTGGCGAGAAAAAAAAACCCCCGGGTCACTCGAAGGGACTGTCGTGTTCAAGTATTTTTACATCGCGCATTTGCTTGTTCTAGCCTCCAAAGATTCGAATAGCCAGGTGGGGTTGAATATCTGCCGGGTCTAGCTTCTCACCGCAAGAGCTCTCTCAGGCGATATCAAAGGAGATACCCCTGACTCCATATCTTCCCATTTGTTTCAATCGAGATCGAACACAAGGAAAAAACATCATGCCATCATTGGACCCAGTTCCGGCCCAGAGAAATTATCAGATCGAGGCCAATTCCGACGATGAAGCCGACCCTGAGTTGGTAGAGCTTCTTCGCCAGCATTTCGGACTGGGCGAAAGACCAAAGGATGCCCCACCAGAGACCAAAGTGCTTGAAGGTGCTCAATATGTCTTCGACAATGCAATTGATGTTGCTGTCAGCCTTGTTCACGCCAAAGGAGCTGCCGAAACTATATGGCGTATGATGCAGAAGAAAGAGTATTCCACGCACACCTGGTCGGAGCACGAACTACACCCAAAGACCAAAGATGAAAGCACAGTCGATTTCATCTTTACAATGGACTTGCTGAACTTTAGTTTCTGGTCCGAGGAGGAAGAAGAGCCAAAGCGCTTTTGTATTGAGTATCGTGGAAAGCTATGGACTGGTTATTGGAGTCTGGTTGCTGCACTACAAAGAGCTCTCGATGAAGGTCAGTTCCCTGACTGGACTCTACTTCTAGAATGAGTGCTTACTCCGACTTCAGACATTCCAATTACAACCCCCGACTTCTGGGTGGATGAAGAAAGGTGTACGGACGAGCTACTCAGACATGTATTCCGGTCTGCAACAGATGGAGAGATTCCTATGTTCAAAGAACGAGTGCATTGTCTACGTGAGGCAGGCGAGGTCCTTTGCGAGGTATTATTTCTTACCACCTTGGCTATATGATACTAACCGCTTATAGGAATTCGGCGGCAGCTTCGTCAACTGCATTGACAGTGCCAACCTCTCCGCCGCAAGACTGGTCAATATATTGACAGAGAGCTTTCCCTGTTTCCGCGATGAGACAGTCTTCCACGGAAAGAGAGTCCGGCTCTACAAACGTGCTCAAATCCTAGTTGCTGATCTCTGGGCCTGTTTTAATGGGGAAGACTTTGGTGAATTCCACGACATTGACAAGATCACCATGTTTGCAGGTACGGTTTTTGGAATGCTCACCACTTTGTCAAATCCATCCTGACCATATATCCTAGATTACCGCATTCCGCAGATGCTACACCAGCTGAACTGTCTTCGCTACGCACCTAGATTGGAAAACCATATCCGTGACTTGAAGCCCATCGAGCCAGGCTCAACCTGGGAGATCGAGCTTCGTGGGACTAGTATCTGGTGTGTTGAGTTGATCAAACGAGAGATCGAAAAACAACACCCTGAGGTCAAAATGAACCGCCAAAAGCCTCCTTCCAAGGGTATTCCAAACGGCAACCATGAAACTCAAAGCTCGGATAAGTCGGATGAGAAATTGAAGATTGCGGAGAAACCGCGAAAGACATATGGCATCAATGCAATCCTCATCGACTTTTTCTTGTACGACACGATGAAGTGCCTGGAGGCAGAGAAAGATGAGTCCATTCCTCATCACCGGACGAGGAGCATTTGGTACTGAGGTGAGTGGTCATTGGTTTTGGCGTCATTGACGGCGCTTTGGAGTTGGATTGCCACAATGGTGACTTGGGAAATTGGGTTGCTCTGGAGCAAAAGGAGCATATAATCAAAACATAGACATGGCTAGGCCGATTTCTTTCCTTGTCAAGGATGAATACATATAGAATTACATGTTAATTCATATGTTAGGGTATCAATTAAACTAGCAGGCTGCGTCCCCTTCGAATAATCTCTCATCGCATGACGGCGATTAAGCAGCTGCATCTTCCATACGAGCCATAATATCCGCTTTCCAGTTCACATAATCCTCTTGACGATCATCGCTCAGCCAGTCAATTCGATCCTGCATCATTGTCCCCAGACCAGGCAAAAGACCGCCCCGCAGAGCATGATCTGACTGCGAAGCACGAGTTCCAACACTCCCAGCCGCCGAACGTTTAGGTGGCCTAACGCCCCTGAGTGTCGCATCCTCTTCATCCAGGTCTTGGTAGGACCTGCCTTCCTCATCTTCACCATAGAGCTGCCCGGCATAGGGGATATTCTCGAACCATTCCTGGCCGTTGGCCCACCCTTGCTCCATGATAAGAGTGATCCATTGATCAACATCATCGCGATGTCTCCGGTCATTAGCCTTCAGCCCAAGGCTGTTCAATGCCGTCTGACGCATCTCAATAAAAGTCTTCTTGTCCATCTTCTGCGCTTCGATATCCGCATCTGCATCTGGCCCGGGGTTGCGCCGACGGGCAAGCACAAGGAAGTATACAGCCACAGCCATGGCGTAGACCAGTTCTTTGAAATCATCGTCCTTATCCGAACCATTGATAGAAACAATAGGCTCCAGGAAATCCAAGCTCTCCCGGTCCCATCCCGGTTCATCGTTGGACATGCTCGACGTAAGATAGAGGACGGACGACACGCCAGAAAATATATGTGGAGGCAACGTCCTGGAGATTGGAGGCCGAGACCAGGTATTTGTGCGCGGAGCAGGTGTCGAGAGAATCTTGCATACAGTCCGGATAGCTGTCATCACCCAAGCCGGGGCATCTGGAATGATGGTTGACCCTTGAATAGCCTTCGTTCGGGGCGCTGTAGCCTTTCTTGCCGATTTCGAGGGACTCTCGGGTCGGTTTGCTGTGCTCATACTTCGTTTCAAGGGAGTAGATTTCGAGGGTGTATTTTGTAGCCCCCGTGGTGTTGGTGCTACTGCCTTGGAAGGGGTGTTCCTGCCGGTGGCGCCCTTCGTCGGTGTGGTCTGCGTGGAGCCGGCACGTGAGGGTGTCCCAGAAACCGATCCGCTTGCTGAGCGTTTGAGGCAAGCGGAGCTTGATGTGAGAGATCGGTCAAGGTATGAATAAAGCTTTTTGTATATGCGCGGAGGACATGGCGGATGTCCGAGCAGCGGAGGGAGTTTAAGAGACCGGGTCAATCTATAGAAGTCAGACACGAACAGTTAGCATCTCAGAAGCAAGCCAACCATAGAAAGGCCTCATTCAGGACCTGTAGCATACCTTCTGCAGGCGATTTCCGCGCAGGCATATGGTCGAGCGATTTCCTCTTCTGGCTTTAGACTGCTCGAGAAGCTCCGGGACTGTGCCACGAGCGACATTGCATAGCTGAGTAGTTCTTGTGGGAGGTCATTGGCATGAGTCGGCACCAATGTGCTCAACGCCTGTTCCACCGGCCGATTGTTCATTGTTCTTGAAATGTTATGGATCAAGTGGAGGAAGGGGCCAGGTAGGATATGGCCGTGTCCAGGTCGGACAAGGATCGTTGGAAAGGCAAAAAGCAAAAGGTATTTCCCGAGAACCTTTCTGCGTATTCAAATTTCGAATTGAGCCAACTGCGTCTGAACTGAAGGGATCGGACTGACAACCAAACATCTGCAATTGCCTGGCGCATCGATAAGAAAACCATGACTAAGCACTTTATCGGCCCTCACCTGGGCAATGCCTCCTCTTGCACTTCATATTACCTCAAAGAATACCCTCAATATGTCTGTTACAGTAAGTTCACATATAATTAAAGCTCTACAATCTTTGTACAGCTCGCTTTTCTATAAAATCATGCTAATTACAGCTTCAACAGTTACATACCACCCAAGGCGCCCTCAAGGTTGAGCTTTTCTGCGAAGCAGTACCCCAAACCGCGGAGAACTTCCTCGCCCTCTGCGCATGCGGCGCATACAACAACACCCCATTCCATCGCCTCATTCCGGGATTCATGGTCCAGGGCGGAGATATCTCTCTCGGACCCGCCGCGCATCAAACAAGCACGAAACCAATGCTCGATTTCGAGATCCCGAAAGGCGGCACATCGATCTACCACCCGGCAGCAATGAACCAAGAAATCCACCTCCCGTCGCTGCGACACAACGCACGGGGCATTCTGTCTATGGCGTCTCGTCCGGTGAAAGACAGGACGGCGCCTGGCTCTCAGGGCGCAACGGGCGCAACGATCAACGGGAGTCAATTCTTCATTACGTTCGTGCCAGCGCCGCATCTTGATGGCGCTAGTACTGTGTTTGGGAAGGTGTTGAATTTGACCGCCCAAGACGAAGGCGGTGATGTTCTTACCAAACTCGAGAAGGCGAATGTTAAGGTCGACAAGAAGGGGAAAGTCTCTCAGCCCAAAGAGGATGATGATTTTGAAGCATTCAAGATCAATAAAGTCACTATCCACGCGAACCCATTTGCGAAGTGAACTTTTGACGCTCGAATTCTGCATGAAAGCTGGATGATGTCCCAGGATCGAGCCCCGAGAGCCTCGCTCAGCAGGAACACAGCTACTAGCTTAACCTGGAGACGCTCCTGCAATCCTATCATGTGAAGCCCAAAATCACTCGCCTCCCAGTCATACGAGTCTGGATGCTTACTGATGTCTCTCTGCTGGCTTTCTCGACCTGTGTTGCCAGCACTATTATGTGGCATAATACGGCACACTCTGTAGAAATACTCCCAGACATTGGGCCAAGAATGTGTGCCGGCGCCTTTTCTCTGATGATAAACATGATAAACACTTGCTGGCAAATGTGGGCGCCATTAGATCTACTCGAGGGATCAAAAGAACACAGAGAGACGGAAAGGAAACTATATCGAGGTATCGAACATGTCCAACAGTGTCAATTATTACCATAACTCCCGAATTAAACCACGAGATCCGAAAGAATATCTAAGTACAAAGCAACCGCTAATTCCTATTTATAAACCTCGCATTCCATCCAATTGTGTCCAACCCTCTCCAAGGCGAAATAAATCCTGCAAAATTTTAACCTGCAGCTCTACTTTTGTCTGATCTGACTGCGCCGCATAATTCAGGAATGACAGAGCCGAACATGACATCAAGAACCGAATGATTTGGACGTTTGCTGGCGCCGCTGCATTTCCAAGATACGCTTCCACAAATTTGGTTGTGTTCTCCTGCATCTCCTGTCGCGTAAGGCCATACTGCTCGCCCGTTCGTCGCAGCATATGCACGAAGTGGCCCATATCTCGTTCCGGTACTCCAACCGGCTCACTATTCTCGTCCAAAGAACAGTGTAGCGTCGTCGTGTCGATCATAGTGACATGGCCCGTCGCGCGGTCATAGAAGAAATTTCCAGGATGGGCATCCCCGTGCACGACAGTGGTGCGCGGACGACTAGCAATATCCCGCTTGCAGTCGGCAATAAGTTGATTCATCTTCTCAGGGAGCTGGTCCACTTCGAGTCCCGCGGAGCGAACAATGTCTTTGTACACCAATGCCTGCTGGACTCGTTTCGTTGCCGCGTTAAAATACCACTCAAGATACTCTGTGCCTGGTCGCCCTTCGACGCTATGAGTGTGTAATCTGGCCAAGGTACGTGCGACTGCCTGCACGCCAGCACTGAAGACGGACAACATGTCTCTCCTCGCAGGTCCCGGCGGTAGGCGGCCTGTCTGCATCATGAGCTGATAAAGAGATACCCCGGGGGCAACTTGATACGTGACCACCCCGGCTGGTTTGGTATCCCACGTCATCCGCCCAACAGCCAACGGGGCGGCAGTCTTGATGTCACCCTTGGTCTGCAAAAGAAGCCATTCAAGGCTTGACAACTCTTCCGTGATCCCATTGTCCAATCCGTGGACAAAAAGTTTAATTACGGCAACCGCACGGCCTTTGGATAGGTCGTTGGATGCCAGCGATATCTCTCCGTTGGAATATTCATCGTTGGCATAGGCAAAGAAAATGATAGCACCAGAAAAGCCCCCCGGGTGAGCGGGATCCAGACTCCGCAGGTTGACAGGACAGCCCACGGCAGCGGAGACATGCTCTTCTAGCGCCGAAATAGTTGGGGCTATCTCTGGAAGATTTTGCATAACTTCGTCGGCCTGCTTCGAAGTCGGCGTTCCACTGCGATTTCGCGTTCGTGCGGCTCGACTCATTGATGATACGACGCTCATTCCAAGCGATGGACGAGGCCATGATGAATATGCTGGTGCAACGCTGCCATGAGCCATCTGCACTGTATCTCCCTCACCCTCCATCGCGGAGCGAAGCAGAGCCTTGGCGGCATGTTTCCACGAATAACCTCGCATGATTCGCTGCAGAGAACGAGCATGCCGTCTCGTCTGCTCCGGGTAACATCTCACCTGGTCAATCCGATGAGCCCAGACGGCTACGCGCTGGCTTGTCGGCGAAGGCACAATTCCATATGTGCTCTCGTCCATCACCACACAGGCCTGACCAAGTTCTGGCGGAATGCGACTGCGATCAAGCGCAAGCTGGCCTGCACCACTTTCCTGCGTCACTAGGATGGGAACGCCCAGTCCGGCGACTTCGGTGAAGATCATTCCGAATCCCTCGTGCATCGAGGGCATGATGACCAGGTCCGCGTTACAGTAAAATCGCGAGACCGCGTTAGGGTCATCGGAGAAAGGGTGCAACCTGACGAGGTCTGGCATGCCTGTCATCTCATCGACGGCCTGCTGCCACCGCTCCACGTCTTCTGCCGGAAGTCCCAGCACATCCAGGGAGATATCGTTGCCAGAGAGTGCGATCTTGCGCACAGCGTACACAGCGTCGTCTAGACCTTTGGCGGGATCGTCTGCTCGACCAGCAAGGAGGACCCGAAACAGGTCGTTCGGCTGTCGCTGTTGCGTGCGAGCATCACCCGTGCGCACGCCTGGAACTAGTTCATGGAACCGAGGTCCCTTCATGTTTGATCGTGGGCGATTGCATTGGCCCATCCACTCGCGTTCGCGTGCTTCGGTTGTGAGTACAGGCCCAACTCCAACGGCCAAATCAGCTTTAGGGAGGATCCTCTCGTCTAGCATTGCCAGCCGAGCGGCTTCAACATAGCCTAGCTCGCGTGTTTGTCCGTACCACTTCCACGCGACATCGGACTTGCGCAGGGCGCTGGTATGTGTGATGAGTGCGAGCTTGGCTGTGGGATACCATCTCTCGCGGATCAAGGAAGCTGCGGTGCTAGAGTATCGCGAGTGGCCAATGACGAGGTTGAATGGGGTCGGATGCTGGTCGTCCGGAATTGGCAGACCATACTCTCCTGGTTGGTGTACCTTCGCCACATGGTAGAGCAAGGCACTGGGATCATTCCCTCTAGAGGGAATGCGGACCTCTTTAGCTCGACCATGCCCCGACGATGCCAATGTGTTTTTGACTTCATTCTCAGTCTCTACCATGAACAGAGTAACTGATGCATTGGGGATTTCCGACATGGCTTTGACCAGTTCTTGATTCAACAGAGGCAGACCTCCTTTACCTGGCCCGCTGGCGTTGGCGACAACGAGCACTCTCCAGGGTTGGATCCTTTCAGGCGAGATACTGAGAAGACGTTCCCACTCAAATTTAACCTTTTCGCTGAGCTGGACAGCCTTATTTTCATCGCGCGATGTATCTTGCTTGTCCACTGCAGACCATAATCGAGATAGTTGCGTGCGTGTTTTGAACAACCGGGCAAGACCTTCATTGATTGGTATATCTTGCGCCTGGTATGCTTTCCAGAATTCCACCTGAACCTGGCCAATATCAGCTTCACTCATTCCAAAATCCCCGGCATACTTGCGCAGCCGCTCGTGAAACCCAGCCGCATCCATTTCGGCCGGTCCAATAGGCCGGCCGCTCGTATCCATCGAGCGAGTCAGGCCCCCGTAATCGATCATGGTGATTCCTTGAACGGGGTCCCAGAAGAAATTTCCCGGCGAGGCGTCGCCATGCAGTAGGGACGCTACACCTTCTTCCCGCGAGTAATCAATCGCCCGGTCGACCAATGAGGCCAGTTGCTGTATTTGATCAGATCCGATAGCGCGTTCATACTGCCGTCTGGATGGGCCCTGGATCTCTTGGACCCAACCTTGTAGCTTGTTGCGGAGCCTGTCGACTGCAGACTCGCTGGCGCTGCTCCATTCGGATTTTTCCCTGTGCAGCTTGGCCAGTGTTAATGCCACTCCTCGGACGGCGGAGATCAAGTCGGCCATCAGCTCATTGAATTGACAGTCCAAAAGCTCAGTGGTGGGGATATTAGATGATTGGGTCTGATGTGATTTGTGATTGATTGAGATGCCATGGAGCGCGCCGCGAATAATATCATTCATCATTTCCCTTGTTTCGTCCGGATAAGGTTGCTTCGCGATCAGTCGGAGAGTGGAAACCCGACCAATGTCACGGATTATTGTGTTGATTGCCTTACCTGCTGCGAGCTGGTAGACAATCACTCCCATAGGCTCTGCGGTGTTTTCATCGCGCGTCCTTCCCACTCCAAGGGGCCGAGCAGCAGACGGTGGATCGGAAAGAGAAAGCAACCTCCGGTATGCAACGAGTTCTTCAAAGAAGTCCTTATGACATGCTGGTGGATATACCTTTGTGACGGCGACGGCTTTTTCTGGGTGGGTACTGTCCCGAACGAAGTAGATGGAACAGCCGGATTGGCCTTCTGCGCCGGATGCTTGAAGACGGTGCAGCTCGACGGAGTGACCGAGGACGGATTCAACGATTGCGGTGACGGAGCCGGTCTCAGGTAATGCAGTCAATGTGAAGTTGCCGTCGTCTTCTTTTCGAGCCGTGAGCTTGTCGAGGGTGGTTGGCAAGACGCCCTCCTGCAGTCTAGCACACTCCAAGGCGGCCATTCTATTGGATTAGAAAGTTTGAATGGAAGAATGGAGTACAGAGGAAAAAAGACGATACCAATATACTATTCAGTCTCATTCGACTATAATCGGCAAAAAAGGTCTCTTGACGCAAGCTCAAAATACGCGGATGTGACAGCGAGATCAACATAATACAAGGATCTTTCTTCGGCCGTGGCACCTTATGCAACATACTGCAGATCTCGGTGTGGCCAGGTAGATCGGCAACAGAAAGGATATGCTGTTTGAATCGTGTCCTCGTGGTCGAATGGGGAGCCTCGTATAGCTAGCGTTCTATTACTCCGTATGGTAATGTATATGGAGCCACCGGCATGCGCAACCCTCTTTGTGGCTAAATACATAGATAGGACCAAACGGATAAGTCCGTCTCTCCATAGCTCCTATACAGGCTAGATGTGTCTCAATTAATGGCTGAGTGGCTGAAGACGTGCTCGGCGTATGGAGCTACAGATCACATCACATATCAGGTACTTGGGTGTGACGCTATTGGAAGCCCAGCTGGTCAATTTACAAGGATGAATCCTAAGCAGCAAGTAACTAACTAGTTAGTTAGTTAACTAGGGGGTTATCAAGTACGTAATATCCAGCTTCCATATGTTGGTAAGTACAGCTCCAGTATCAAATAAGCCCCAATCCAGCTAGCCACAAACTGACGCCAGAACATTTTGGAACTCACTTTAGGCAGTGAGCTTGTAAGAAAGCCGATGTGCAACTGTACTAGAAACCGGATACTTTGAACAATAGTGGTCAGCTTACAAGTTTACGATTATATTACAGCTGAAGATCTATGGAGTCGAGCCCAGATATGGTTAGAGCCAAAAAATCTTGGAAGCTCGACCCACCCGAAACCATGGTTCTTCCCGTCGTGTTCTTTCTCCAAGGTTCCGACCACGGGAACTTCGAGTCATGCATTATGTATGTACCTACTACCTTACATAGACAGGTACATACACCTCAATCTGATGGATCAATTGACTTGTCCACAAATTTGAATACCACAAATAGAGGCTATGAGTACTAAGCTAAACCAAAACCGCCCAAGCGGGATGATATACATCTAATCCTGGGTCGCATGTTCTAGGCGTACTTGGTACTCTGCACTGTTGCCTATACGTGCATGTATGTCTGGAATATCAATAGTTCGAGTCAATATGCACGCAGGATGACAAGCTGTGGGGTACTTCTATGTGAAAACTCTAAATGGTCACGTCAGATCCCGTCGAATAATACATGTCCACCATTTGGGCAATTTATCACGCGAGCTGTTCATCGAACAATAATTAGATATTCGAACCTCAGGATATGCGTTGATTGTGACAAATAATAAATTTTTTACGTATCAAATTAAAGCAAAAAGCAACAAGGAATCGAAGTGACTGAAATTGAGACTAGGGTATTTTGGAACCTGGCTAAAGTAAAACGCAGCGCCTCCACAGCGAGGTGATTTGCCAAATTACAGACAAATGACAAAAAGTGAAAAATGCTCATTTAATCCGACAAACTTCATCAGAGCCAGATCACCCCATGGGTCTAGACCGTACACATTGGACTATTAAAGGGTAGCAAAACTATCTGTATAAAGTCGAACTGGCATTGAACCCAATAGGTAAATTTGCGTTTTTTTCTTCCCTTATTTCACCTTCCGTTCTCCATGTAGTGTACATGTTTCTTCAAAGTTAAAGATAAAATTGAATGCCTGAGCCAAACCACTGGGTCCTGATGGTGATCCCTCGAGCTGTACGGAGTACCGCAGAACTACTCCGTACTCCGCATGTTGTGCACCATGGGCACAAAGATCTACAATATTGAGATTGAGAGCAAGGTATTATTTGCATTTAATATCAGAGCTTCAATTTGTACATAGATACAAGTAAAAGTACGTATACACGTATACTGAGAATATCCACCATTTGTACATACATACATGTAGTGTTCGCAAGTTCCCTTGGCGCCATCTTCAGGTTGCAATGCATCGATGGGGGACGCGATCTTGGAGGCCGGCAAATTACTAGCCAATACAGTGGCGTTACTAGTCTTCATCCGAAGCTCCACTGATTGACAGAGTCGCGATTGAAATGTGAGCACACGACAGCTCGATTGCGAACATTTGAACATTCAGCTTCCAGTCTCACAGCCAACACCCCGCATGTGAAGACTACATACCTTCCTGGGCAGTTCCCATTCTTCCTGTCTCAATTGCCTGGTCAAAGCCAATTTGAAGATCCAAAGTCTCAGATTATCAAGAGCTTGTAGCCATGGATTCGGCTATCGCTGCTCATGCATTGCTGCAATATCTTCGATTTGGATATCCTCCGGTCTTGCTAGCAATTCTCTTCGTTGTCTTTTTGGTCCATTCATCCCAGGTAGCCAAAAATGCCGGTCGGAATACGAAAGTGCAGTATGGCCCCGGTGGGAAACCACTGCCCAGGCGAACCCGCATCATGATGGCAGTAGCCAGAGACTTGCCCGCGGAGCTTGAGCGGAATAAATCCAAAGGCTGGTTTGTTTGGTTAAGTCTTCTTGTATTGGCGACCTACATTGCAGACGCAGTAATTCATATGACCCACGCCATGATCTCAAAGTCAGAGCAGTGGTGGTGTGGTCAAGCGGCGGTGGTAAGATCTTGTGCTTCCACAACTGAAATCAAAGCTAACGAAAAGGCCAGGTCTTTGTCGTTGGGTCTTTCTTCGCTCATACCGTCATCCTCATCTCTTTACTCGATACGAACCCTGCACCATCAATCGCGCAATTCGTCCCATGGCTCTCAGCCATTCCTTTCGAGGTAGCAATTCTCTCGACTTCAGTCTCCATCTATTCTCACACCCACCGTGAACCTAGAATTGGGGATCCATTTGGTGGAAGACTGCGTAGGAAAATCACATTCTGGGAAGCATTGGAGATCGCCGCAGGCTCTGTACGAATTTTTGTTCTCGCACTTCTGGTCGGGTCCTACATTTTCAGATCTGCCCGCAAACTTCGCGCCTTCAAGGATGCTGAAGATGCCGATATCGGAGAGAGGACCAGCCTTCTAGACGCAAGAGGCAATGCCAACTCGGACGACAGTGATGGCTTGACCGATGGTAAACAGACCCCTGAGGTAGAAGCGTGGGTACGGCCTTTGACAACCCCTTCCACCAACTGGATGGAATATCTGAGTGGCTATTCCCTATTCTTTCCATATCTGTGGCCCTACAAATCCACCCGGCTGCAATTTGTCGTCGTCATCTGCTTTGCTATATTGATTGTGCAGCGAGCGGTGAATATCCTAGTCCCATATCAAGTAGGAGTGATCGCAGACTCGTTGTCCACCAGCGATGGAACTCTAAGAGTGCCCTGGATGCCCATCTGTCTGTATATCGTCTACCGTTGGCTTCAAGGCAGCCAAGGTTTCCTTGAGTCAGTTCGTTCGAACTTGTGGATTTCAGTCAGCCAGTATGCATACATGGAGTTGTCGACCGCTGCATTCGAGCATGTCCATAACCTAGGACTGGACTTCCACCTGGGCAAAAAGATGGGCGAGGTCCTCTCAGCTCTCACCAAAGGCAGCTCAATTAACACTTTCCTGGAGCAAGTGACCTTTCAAGTGTTGCCGATGTTCATTGATTTGGCCATCGCCATCGGATATTTCCTCGTCGAATTTGACGTGTACTACGCGTTGGCTGTCGCTATCATGACGTTCTTCTACCTCTATTCAACCGTCAAAATTGCCTCGTGGAGAGCCAATATGCGACGCCAAATGGTTAATGCTTCTAGGCAGGAAGACGCTGTCAAGTAAGTTTCGTTCCCGTTTCTCGTCTCTGTTTGTCGCGTTGGGCTTCACTAACCTATGCAGGAATGATTCTCTCGTGTCCTACGAAACCGTCAAATACTTCAATGCAGAGGAATATGAGTTCAATCGCTATCGAGGGGCAGTCTCGGACTACCTCCGCGCGGAATGGCATTCCCTCTTCGCACAGAATCTGATGAATATCTTTCAAAATGTCATCTTTATGCTTGGCCTTCTAATCACTTGTTTTATTTGTGCCTACCAAGTTGCTCGCGGTCAACTTCTAGTCGGCAAGTTCGTTACGCTCCTTACCTACATGGCCCAACTCCAAGCCCCATTGAACATCTTTGGGACCTTCTACCGATACATTCAATCCGCGTTGATCAATGCAGAGCGTCTACTTGAGCTGTTCCGCGTCCAGCCGTCCGTGGTGAATGCACCGTCTGCAACACCATTAGCAGTTTGTGGCGGCCGAATCACATTTAATAATATCAAGTTCTCGTACGACACACGACGACCTGCTCTCGATGGATTGACCTTCGACTGCAAACCGGGTACAACCACTGCTCTGGTAGGAGAGTCCGGTGTCGGGAAATCGACAATCTTCCGCTTGCTGTACAGGTTCTACAACCCGAGCGGCGGAAGCCTTCTCATTGACGGACACGACACCCAAACCTTGACAATTGACTCCGTGCGAAGACACATCGGTATTGTTCCACAAGACACAGTTCTATTCAACGAAACACTCATGTACAACCTTAAATACGCCAACCAAGATGCCACCGACGAGGAAGTCTATGATGCCTGCCGTGCAGCCAGTGTACATGACAAGATCATGGCCTTCCCTGATGGTTACCAAACCAAAGTGGGAGACCGTGGATTGCGACTAAGCGGTGGCGAGAAACAGCGCGTTGCCATTGCCCGAACCATTATCAAGAAACCTCAGATCATCTTGCTTGACGAGGCAACGGCGGCGTTGGATTCCGAGACGGAACAGAACATCCAAGAGGCACTAGCTGTCTTGTCGCGTGGACGCACTGTGCTAGTTATTGCCCATCGGCTGAGTACAATCACCACTGCTGATAACATTGTTGTGTTGCACGAAGGTCGGGTCGCGGAGAGTGGGACCCATGAGCAGCTTCTGGCTTCTCACGGTCGATATACAACGATGTGGCAGAAGCAGATTCGTGCGCACACTGAATCTGTGGGCTTGGGGACCTTGTCGGGCAAGATATAGAATTGCATATTTGGGAATCATTCAGGGGAACTATGCATATAGAGTTGACTCGCCTGTGAAGAGACGAAACTTCGCACAGCTGATGTCTTGTTTAAGTGGAAAGTCGAAGTGGAAGTATCCCAGTCGATGATTATGTACTAATGCTTAATCTACGTATTTCTTTGCTTTGGAACGATTTGAACATTTGAACGTGTAATTCAGTGAATCTAGAGCCGAACAGATCCGAGTAAGAATCAGGAAATAAATGGAAATCTACGGAGTACTTCGGAGCTGAATTGTCAATTCATTGTGACCAATGAACGTACCCCAAAATGGCCTGGCGTAGGCTCGGGAGCGCCGATCTGCAGGGGTGAGCTATGTTTAGCGGGCACGGGGGATATTATTTCGGCCAATGGGATTTCGTTGAATTTTAGAAGTTTACCTGTATCATGTTGATTTGTTTACTAGTGCCATTACATATGTATGTAGTCTTCAAGCTATACTGGTATTATCAGATAAAAGTACAGTTTGTAAATTTAATTTCATACAGGAGGCTTCTCGTAAATTATTCATTCTACTCTGGCGTTCCATCATTGACTTGCTCTCCTTGTGAAATTATTTTCTGGAAATGGAGCGCATCCTTTGGCTTGATAGCCTCCGGGGCATCGCCTCTGCTTTGGTAGTAATACACCATTCAAAGAGCTCGGAGCCCAAGAGTATCGTTGGCTTTTTGACCAGGTCCTACTGGGATGAACCGGCTGAAGAGAACCATCGTCTTATCCAACTCCCACCCTTCCGACTTCTCTTCAATGGCCCATCAATGGTGGCTTTGTTCATGGTGATATCGGGGTATGCGATCTCTCTTCCGCTTCTGCGATGCCGAGAGGAAGTCGGGCCAAGTAATTCTGGGTTCTTCCGTCGGTTATGCTCTGCTGCAACTCGCCGAATCTTTCGAATCTATCTGCCCTCTATCGCCATACTATTTCTCAGTCAATTTGTGTACTTTTGCAACGTGTGCCAGTGGAAAGCCGCGGATGACTGGCTAGGCGGGCTAAAGCCCTTGACGGCGCCATGGGCCCATATCCAATATGTGCTGTCGAGAATAGTGCATCTGCTGGATATCAGCAATCATCAAGTCGATATCAATTTTGATCACAATCGACCCGATATGAGAACCATAAATTATCAACTGTGGACAATGCCAATTGAGTTTCGGGGCTCGTGTGCTGTCTACTTGTTAACCTTGACATTCTCATTTTGGAAACCGCAGCCCCGGTATCTGGCATTGGCAGCTGTGGCAATGTATTGGTTTTACATGGGACATTGGGATCTCTTTGCTTTCGTTGCCGGGATTTTTCTTGCAGAGAGACATGTCGCATCTGAGTCCGAACCTGACGGAGAGATTGCATTGTCGTACTCGTTTTCACCTTTCGAGAGTCCAAACCCCATTATCAAAGCGTGGAACAAATTCAGGGAGAGCATCTATCTCCGACAGCTCCGAACATCAGGCTGTTTCATTCTTGGGATGTATTTCCTTTGCATGTGCGGGGCTGATCGGTTAGCACGGGAATACCGATGGCTGGCCGTGGCTCGATCTCCCGAGTGGGATAATGCTGAGATGATGCCCCGGTGCTGGAGGAGTGTTGGAGCAGTCCTGACAATATATGCAATCAGCAAATCTGCGCTGCTTCAGAGACCGCTTAACTCACGGCCATTGCAATACTTGGGCAAAATCTCGTTCCCGCTCTATCTGGTCCACCCGACAGTCTATCTCGTTCTCAAATGGCCAGTCCGAGACTTTCTGTGGTGGGCAGTTGCAAGAACATCTTATCCTGGTACTATCGAGGCGAGCAAGCATGTTTTACCGTTTTGCATAGCTTGGATGGGAACCATGCTTGGGTCAGGTGTTGTAATGGTGATTGCATCTGAAATTTGGAATCGTTTCGTTGATATGAAGTGCCTGGGGCTTGCAAGGAGATTCGAAAAATGGGTTTCGTGTTAGCGGATGCCGTTTTGAGAGTGGACTCCAACGTAACGAAGACATTCGGTCAGTAGCACCTATAGAAAGTACAGCTATCGGGTTTCCATAAGCTCACCTCTAGTTTAGCTTGAACCATTCAATCCATCTCTTATCGCAGCCATACACTTCGACGTGGCCCTCTCAGTAGGCCTCTCTTGTCAACAGTTTCACTAGTATGTAATGCATAGCATAGTAGACACACAACTTTTATGACTTCATCTCTATGTATGATCGAATGATCGAATATTTTAATGACACCAGCAAAAAAGTATATCATAAACGCCGTTATGCAAACTCCAAAAGAATCAATGAGATCATCCCAAGTTTCGTGAAATCGATGTACACATCATAAATCCTTCGTTTACTCCTTCTGAGCGGCATCGGTCTCGTCCTGCTCATAACCTTCGGTCTTCATGTCTGTTAGGCCGAGGTCATCTTCCTCCTCAGCCGAGCGGGTGTACTCCTCAGTGGTAATCTGGTGGTCGATAGCTGGGCTGCAAAGATCTTGGACGTAAGACGAGGCCATCGGGTCTTGCAACGTGATAACGAATTTGAGCTCGCCGTTGATAGCCTGGTCGAGACGACTGAAGAACCTTTGCCACTTATCCTTATCAGAAGAGACCATGCTGTCGCCTCCGGAGCGTGCGGAATCGTCAACATCGAAAATGGCACCCTTCAACTGATCCCTGATCTCAACTATAAAAGGGTTAGTTGGGTCAATCTACTCAAATAATAGAGGAACGAACCTAGTAATCCTTCAACTGTCGTGAAACGTCCACCGAGCGTTCCGGGTTGGACGTCCAGGTCAAGTTCGGGACTGTAAAGTCCTGCTGTGTCGCTCTTGAGAATATCGCGCGAGAGATCAACTTGGTTATTCACCTGGAGAGTGATACGCTTGCCCTTCTCCGGTACCTCGCCACCGGTCTTGATTGCAGAAGACTTGTAGCCGCAGTGTCCACAGTTCGTGCCAAACAGCAGAACTTCCTTGAAGTAAGGAATGTTGACTTTCTTAATGTTCACCTCTGCTTCTTTATTACAACCGGGACACTCGGCAGGAATGCTGTAGACCTGGCCATCAACGATATCGAGATCCTCTGGGTCGCCGGCCTCGACCTGAGCTGTGTCTTCTTGGCTGACAGCGTTGGCGTCAGCGGAAATTCCCAACTCCTCATTCTGTTCGTGGGTACGAGGGTATTCATGGCGCTTGTACTTGTTGCCACGATCAGTGCTGTTAGGCGCAATCCAGGAATTTCCAGTGAGGTCATCCACGCAGACGGTGAAGGGGAAGGCGTCTTCCCGAGTCATGATCTTCTCAAGACTGGCGATGATAGGCAAAAGGGCATCGTGAAGTTCAGGGGCTTGCTCCTTACGGAGATCTTGCTCTCCCGCCAAGTTTTCATGAATGAGTTGAACCACTAAAGATAAGCAGGTTAGAGTCTTGCAATCGATCTATATCACATTGGGCTTCACGTACTGCCTTCCACGTTTGTCAGCTGGCCGGTTCCCTTCGGGACTTCAATCTCGTTGCCGAGCTTAGTAGTAAGTTTGAAACTAGAAACATCACTGCGGATGACTTGGCGCTGAAATATTCAATTAGCTTGTAGAGAGAGAAAAATGCATTATAACTGGAGATAGATACCTGAAGATCCTGCTCATTCTCGACCCTTAAAGTGTAAACAGTTCCACGCTCCTGGATCTGGCCGGCCGATTTGATCGAGTTGTTTTTGAGGTGGCAGTGTTCACATTCGAAACTCTCGAGGATGATGTCTCTGAAGTAAGGGACTCGGAGTAAAAGCAAGCGCGTGACTCTGATTGGAGTGGTGGAAAGTTAGCTACGTGCAAAACATAAGAACTGAATGTGAGAAACGAACCCTTGCTCGTGGCAGTTCATGCAAAGCGACTCGATTGTCATCGCGCCAGTGTCCTCATCACGCTCCACAAGATCGCCGGGCTTTTGGAATTGCGACTCGAACTGCGCCTCGAGGGCATCGTTGTCGGCTTTGCTGACCATTGTATAGGATTGGCGAAAATCAGAAATTAAGAAGAATGAGGAAGAATGTACACTCAAATATCCGGCTGGAATATTTGTGTAAAGAAGAAGATCCAAGGGACGTTGCACTGAAGTAAGTTGTACTGAAGCAAGAAATTCTTATCGCAAAAAAATTATCTGAGCCACAGGAACATTCCTTCCTGTTCTGCGCGGGGCTGGTGGGGGGCGCTGACAAAGAGTGGGATGAGCTAATAAATTTCTGCCATTGTTATGTCACCGCCCACCTATATTCGAAGGCGGTAAGGCGGGTAAGGATCACTGTATTCGTTGACGATGTACTGACTCTACATGGCCAGGCGCATAATTGCAGATCAAGGTTGATGTACGACTTACATTGTGCATTGTGCATGAATCTAACTAACTCACGTCTGTTCATGGTTCCCGGTCTCCTCCTGTTGAATTTCTCGTTGTATCCACCCAAACAATAGAATCTGCAAATGTAGGTAGTTAGCATCATCTTGGATAGAGCGCTTGGGGCATTTCGGGGGTACTTATAAGAAGAAAAAAGTGGCCGCTTCCACCACCAAGGTAGTAGAAACGGCAGTCCACCGGCTATCACCTGGCCAAAACATTCTGCTCCCATGTAAAGAACCATCATTGACGCAACGTCCAAGTCCCAATGACAATACAATAGTTCCTTAGCGGTACAGCGATCGCCCGATTCCTCGTTCGTCGCTTTTCAGTTCACCCCAATCGGACCCTAGCGACGAGCCTCGGCCGGGAACGCACACGCGGCAGATGAGCATCGCAGACAAGCCAAAGCTTTGATCCTCACTCGAGAGAGGTCCCACAACACCCACTGCATGACGCATACACGTTAGAACCGACCAAGGACATCGCCCCCATGTCGACTGGAAATGGGCTGATAAGTCAAAGCGTTGGAACAATAGAAACCGTACGTTTCTCCGACCAGAAAAATTGCGATCAATTGAGAAACAAGAGGGCGAGTATCAAATGCAGGTGCAAACAGGAGTTGAGGAATGTCTGGGAGCAGACGACAACCGATGGACATATCCCTCGAACCCACAAAAGCCCACATAGCCTTCAAAGAGGCAAGCCAAACTTGGCCGAGACACAGTACGCTCAACCGAATCTGCTAAAAGGACATCCATCTCCGCAATTCCAGTCAACTCACCATTGTTTCGACGACACCATCGCATGAGCATGAAGCCGAGTCTCCCATGTGTGGTACAGAACCCTTTGGGACAGGTTTTTGTTTCCTCTCCCGGTCGACCTGAGGATCTTGCAGGAGGGCATGTTGTGAAGCGCACAAAGAACATCCGGAAAAATCGCTTCCTTCTTCCCGAGGGAAGGAACAATGATGGGAGTCATTGTTGAAGTCGGCGCCCATCGATCTATTCGCAGACTACTTTGCGAAGAGATGGTTAACACGGTCGGTCGGGATCTTCTGTTGAAGTCGAATCGGTGGCGGGTGCCGTGATACGAGGTGCCTAGCCGCCTGTGGGGCGTAGGAATAACAGAACCCAAGAAGTTGGAACGCAGGGGCAAGATCCCCAGGGATCCTGGAATAGGAAACATGTGCAGGAGCAGACAGTTGATGCTAGCAGAATTGACGAGAACATACAGGCAAATAAGTCCGAAAAACACCAAATCGCTTGGGGGAAATTTGTTGCCATCCGGAACGAGACAACAGTTCGCAATCTTCTATGTGCTCCTGAGACCAACATTGAAGAATCGTAGGGCAGCGTAACCAAAGGACCTCGCGACAACTTCAACTGTGAAAATGCCTGGGTAATTTTCAGGGAGAGGAATGTTGATTCCGGCGAGTGGAGCCTTTGGATATGCTGCCACTATGACTGTGTGTAAGGATACTGCTGTGTTCTAGGCAGCAAATCTCTGAGCCAATCAATTTGATGCCCTAGGGTATTCGATACTTAAATGTCGCGTTCAATCGCCATCTGTTCGCGCTGTCGTGGTTGCTCCTAAAGGTGACATCTGATACCGAAGTACCCGACATGCTTCACCCGCGTTCTCTTCTCGCTGAACTGATATCCGAGGCATAGGGCGACCATCCGTTTGTGACCGGCATGCAGCGACCAGCATAGGTAAACCGACGCGGTCTCCATTTGGATAACGCATAGTAAACCGTCTTTTGTGCCCGAAGGCTCTGGCCAAGTCGGATATCTTTCGCTTATTCGGACCATCACAGTCTGTTTCAGCTAATCGTATTATTCGGCATGCGCAATCCGTGAAGCTGTGTCCCTGAGGACATTGAACCGAGGAGTAGGCTTAGGGCTTGGCTCCAATGTCTTCTGCACCGAAACAATACGAGTCGCCAAGGGCAAGACATACGTGACGGTTCACCATTGAAGGCAGCAGAAAGAAACGGAGATCTGACAGGGTTGATCTGTACATGTGTGCCTTGGAAGGCAAGAGACTCGAGTGGCTCCACACTCAGGAAACGGTTGTGGTGGAACTCTGGCAGGTCTGAACAGAGAGGGTCCGATGAATGTCGCAAAAACAAGCAAGATTCGCAGCGGTTGAGTAACTGGCCACGGCAGTTTAAGTTGTCTGTTCAAAGGGTGTGTAATGACCAATGGATAGAGTGGACGGAGTTGGTGACAACAACAACACCACCAAAGGGTTGGCGCGACTCAATGTGGGTAAGCGCGACGGGCCACGAAACTGACGCGACTGTCACGTGATCTTTTTGCTTTGCCAGTTATGACATAATCAGTCACCAATGCCAAGACCGCACCTGGGCAATTGTTCGTGATTATTCATTCACTTTTTGGAACTGGACAAAGTCGATGAGGCCAATACCCTCATTGGCATGGATTCGGCATGATAAGATCCTACAATTATTTATGATGGGAGGTCCACAGCAACTCCGCGAAGCGTTCAGCATTGCTCAGAACTTTCTGACCCCAGTCCTCGATCGAGGTATGCACGTTTAGATGTTAAGCTACATTTAGGTCTCGAGCGCTGACCATCTCCTAGAGGAAATACAGAAGACCCAAGGCAAATCTTTGCTGCAGATCCTCAGTCAGACTTCCGGGGATCATGATGGTGCTCGTGAGGATGCGTCGAGACCAACGGCGATCAATAGGGCTTTGGATATCTTGACCAGTATCCACAAATCATTTGTATCACCTGAGGACCGATATGGCTCCCTTCAATCCAGCGGGGAGGTGGTTGAAGACTCGCCATCAGAAGATGCCAAGCGCCGTCGGATGCTACATGCATTGCTGGACCTAATTTCCCTGGAAGGAATATATCCTTCGCTATCATCTGGCGTTGGGATCCCACTGCAGCAGCGGGTGATCTCGGTATTGCCAGCCGGTGTCATTGCAAAGCAGGCTCAAGTAGTTGCTAGCAGTGTACCGCACAATGAGCCTCTTTTGCGCCGTATAATCGACGTTTTGGTTGACGTTCTCTTCGACCCGAGACCAAGTCTCCAGCCGATCATTCGTGGTCGTATATTGAGTGACATAATCAGTGGCACGTCCGATCTAGCTTTCAACCCAAATGCCACGGCATCGTCTGACCGGAACGCATATCAGAAAACGTTGGTCAAGATAATTGATGAGTATGTTCTCATTGCTTTTGCTATTTCCACGTAATATTAACAGCCTACAGTACCCCAACAACCGTCTTGCTGCCCACATTGTCCGCATTCCTCCAGTCGGATACTGCGCAGTGGTTCAAGTCAACAATCTCCGGCCAGATTTCACAAGTTCCGCTACGGCCCGGCGGAGTAGTGCAAACTATCATGTTCATTGCATCGCAGTTTTCCCCAACACTAGGCCAAGAAGCACAAGACCAATCAAACGGCCCTCGATTAACTGTCCAGGCCATCATGCAAATCTCACGGCTCCTTTCTTCTGTGCCATCCAATGTTGACCCAACCGCCTATTTTGAGACAATTGCTCCTCAACTGCTAGCATTAATAGACGGCGATGATCCAGATCTGAGGAAAACTGCATCGTACGTCGTTGGTAATGGAATTTTGGGGAAACGCGCTCATGGCGCTCCTGGTACTATTGGTCACTCCATCTTTGTGGAGCCGATTTTCAATGCGCTTACCGCGAACCTCGACGCCAAATCGAGGCGATGGATCAGTCGCTTCACCGATATCGAAGGCTCTATGCCACACACCATGGAAGTGGAGCCCTCATCCAATGTCTTGGTGGATAGCGCCACAGTGGACCTGGCTTTAGACAGATTGAGGTGTCTGACATTGCAGCATCCGAACCCGGGTCTCGTGAAACGAATCGTGCATCCGATTCTTCTCCCACTGTGGGGTTTGGTCTGCTTCTCCCAGGAAGAAGAGCGCACCTCATTCCATGGAAGGGTCTTGCCCCTGCTTCAAACTTATTTTGGTATCTCCGTTGGAGCGCAACCCCTCAAAAAGCTGGTTGATAATCTTCTTTGGGATGGAGGTGCGACGTGGACATACAATAAAGATTCCGAAGCTGGAATTGCGTTGCAGAGGCGGAATGAGAAAAGAAACGAGCACTCAAATATGGTGCGGCTGATCGATTCCCTCCAAGCACGAGCAGAACTCTTCGTCAGTCTCCTTGGCTCGGATCCTAGCAGTGAGGAACGGACCGGTGATATCTTCCTTTATGTCAGTCAAAACTGGCTAGTACAGCCCCAAGGCTCCCCACTCCCTCGCACCACACTGAACGGAGGTCCCGTTGGCGAAAGTGGCAACATCATCCAGAAGCTTGTCAATGCCAAGGTTGCAGAGAAGCTGCTTGAGAACTTCAAGGAGGCACTGACTCGGCGCCCGCTCCGAGTTTTAGAGCTCATCAAGCAAGTCATTGATGGGGAGCTACATAGACTTAGCGCGCAAGAGACGGCGAAGCAAGGCAAACATAGCAAGGTGTCCCTGTCATCTTTAGCCAATATCGTCGAAGCGGAGGACAAAGACAGGGAAGAAATAGACAACGACTCCTCTGAGTCCGTCTCAACCGCCTTTAGTTTGATGTCCACGCTGCTTGCATCTGCTGGGTTCTCTCCCACTGCTGAAATTCAGCCCCTCCTTGGATCTCTCAAAAAGCACCTCGATCAACTCATTCCCTTTCTCCCTTCTACCCTCTCCAAATCAGCGGCTACCTCGTCTATGCTGCTAGAGATTCACCTTGCCGCTGCAGATGAAACCACAACCAAGGCAGTACCAGCTCATGTTCAGGACCTTGACACGCATCGTCAAGCACTCTCAAACCTCGACTCAGATCTACCACCCGTGCAGGCCGAGGGCCTATCGCTGATTTCGAAACTTATCATGAACTCGTCACCCGTTCTTGATGTGGGGTCAACCCTCACACTCCTGCTCTCACTCATCACTGACACATCTAAGACCGTTGCCAATGAGGAATACACATATCTCGGTGCAATCAAGATAGTTGGCACACTAGCATCACGTCATCCGCGTACCGTGATCAAAACCTTGGTCGAGGAGTACGCAGACAGACGTGAACAACGAGCATTGGACGAAAGGCTCAGAATTGGCGAGTCTCTATTGCGCACAGTCCAAGAATTGGGAGACGCACTGGCCGGTGAGACGGCCAAAGTTCTTGGTGAAGGTATCGTTGCCGTCGCAGGACGGCGTGGGAACAAGCAACATGCACAGCAAGCCCGCAGGAAGCAACTTGCCAATGAGAGACGGGAAAAGGAACGCGCCCAGCGCAAGGAAAAAGAACCGGCTATGCCTGAAGGTTGGTCCATTTCATCTGGAGTAGCTAAGGCTGCCTCCGAACTTGACCTCACAGAACTTCATTCGGACGATGAATCCCCAGAGCAATCAGCGTACGCCACAAACGTCGTCGCTGCATGGGCTGCTGGTGCATCCGCAGATGACGCCCCTGATGACCTTCGCATCCGGGCATCCGCCATTTCCATTCTTGGATCGGCCATCAACGTCAACATCCTCGGTCTCGGCCCCGTCATTCTTTCTTCTGCCGTCGACCTCGCGCTTGCGACCCTAACCCTCGAGAGGGAACCGGAGAGTGCCATCCTCCGCCGGGCGAGTATCGTTCTGATCTTCGACATCCTCAAAGCTCTTGAGGCAGCGCGCGAGACGCGCGGAAACCAGGACATCGGGTTCAGCTTTTCGCTTTTAGACGACTCTGGTTCCAGCATGCAGGGAGAATCGACCATTGGTAACATCCCCGCTATGCTACGCACGCTCCGCTTCGTCGAGGGTAGTGAGGAGGACGGGCTCACTCGTGGAAATCTACGCGCTTTAATTGAGAGCTTGGAGGCTTGGTCGGAGAAGTCTTTGATGTGGGGCATTGGCGCCCAGGATGGTCAGGATGCCTTCAATCCACAATTTGGACTGAGCGACAGGATCGCCGGTCTACAGGTTGATCCCATGGCAGGGGCAAACACTGGACGCCCGCGCATCGAGGAGATCGAATGATGCCGAGTGCTAGATACAATAGGAGCAATAAATACCATTCCCCGCAATTCAATGTTGAACGTCTGTCAAATAATACATATAGTACGTAGGATAGGCCTGGTTATGCTAACCATCAAGGCTTTGACGCCCGAAAAAAATCCTCAGATATCCAACTAGGGATCAGTGGATATCACCGACGAATCAGCTCTCTGATTTGCCTGGTCCTCCAGCATCATTGGTCTAGTGGTAGAATTCGTCGTTGCCATCGACGAGGCCCGTGTTCGATTCACGGATGATGCATAACAATGTCTTTTTGGGCTTTTTTCTATCCATTTCTTATAGACTGCAATATTTTATTTTTTCTCCATAGTTCATGTGGTTGTTAAGAAATAGTTTAGGAATATATGCCGCCCGTGAGTTGGTTGGTTCTACACACCTTGGTACCTGCAGCTTACAACATTACAACAAATCCCGATGTCAGTCGAAGCCGAACGTGGTTGTCTTTCTATATGCGGTGCGGCTAACGGTGAGAAACTTGGAAGATTGTTGGCCGACTTGATCGGGATCCGGACCTCCTTCGTTGTCGGGGGCGACCAGCAAATGAATGGCCGTAGGGGTTCAATGTTGCTACATGTTAGCTCTCTCAAAGAGCATATCTCATATCAGCCTCTTCCCGTATTCTTGTTTTCAACAAATGATATCCTCCAACAAACAATAAATTCCAAAGATATGTGGATGTAACAACATATGCATATATCTATACCAATGCCACTCTTTGGGAAGAGTAAATAAGATGTCAAATTCTCAACTTCATTTCAGGAGCATATGCTTAGCCAGCGTGCAAGGCAAAACCAACGCAAACTAGAAATGACATAAGCGTTTGTACCAATGAATGATACACATATCTCATGTTGGGAAGAGACACTAGCGAGTGAAATAGAAGACATGCAAGAAGCATATCACTGACAGCATGAAGAAAATAACGGCAAAGTCCACACTAGCCAGACACATGGTGTACGCAGTGCATGCAGGTAGAATACGGCGAGCTGTCATATCGAGCGACTAATTCAAGTCGAAATTAAGGGATACCCAGACCTGCTGCATGGATTTATAACTTCATGTAGATACATGTGCAGAGCTAAACAAAAGAAATTGGTAAAAGATATTTCCCTAGCTTCGAACATCCTCACGTTGTCTGATTGAACAGTGGCAAGCCACCAAAGAAGTGCAAAAGCGCCCTAGGCGGGCGAGCCCAGCGCAGTTCAAATTACCAGGCATCGCCCTGGGCCAAGGGGCCTGAGCTGCCACGGCCATCACGACCACTGTAGCCACCGCGCCCAGGACCACGTCCGCCACGACCGCGTCCCCCACGACCGCGTCCACCACGGCCGCCTCGTCCACCACGGTTGCCCCGGAAGTGCTGACGAGGTTCTTCAGGGCGTGGGCCGGCTTCCATGCGAGCCTGACGTTCTTCCTCGCTCATGTCAAACTTGTTTTCGATGCCAACCAGACTGCAGAAGGCAGAGGTCTGCGGGTTGGTGTACTCCTTTGGTTGCTCATGTGTGTTGATTGAAACACATGGGTCATACACAGGGGCGGTCGTGGCGAAGTCAGTTGGGATGTTCAACAACCCAGCGTCCACAACGTTCTTGAGTACCCATTTCTCTTCTTCGGCGATCCGTTGCTGGTAGTACTCATGTCCCTTATGAGCAGGGACACTGCCTTTGGGGTCTCCACCAAACTCAAGCTCATCAGCAAACACACGGGTAATCGCCAGCCACTCCTGGTCATACTTGAGTCGTAGGGCAGACTCCGCCGCGGCATCATCCTGCTTGGAGATTGGCTCAATCTCCAGGAGTTCGACAAAGGCATCGTGGTTATGTGGCTTGTCTAATGTCAAGAACTGGGTGATGACGTTCTTGATCTCCTCGGGAGGTGGAAGGCGCTCGAAATCCGTGCGACTTGCGTCAGCCTTGGGTAGACACGGCTGTCCAAGGCTGCTCGGGAGTTCAGTTTCAACTTCCCCAACTCGATCATCCGCACCATCGGTCCACCAGGGATCAGGAGTGCGATTATCTGCCCAATTCAGAGAAATGTTGGCTTTCGGAAGAGCCTTCTCAACTAAAGGAGACTGCACGCTCGCCGCGCTGCTAGGGCTGGTAGAGATACTGATCCTGTCAATATTGTCGGCGACCTCATCGTCGGCCTTGACATTCTTGGTCATTTTGACATCTTTGGTCGTCTCAACTGAGGACGAATATCCATGCTCGGTAGCCACCTGCTCGGAAGAGGCATTCAAGGGGCTCTTTTCCTGGCTGACATTGTCGATGCTTTCGATCTTTTCATCATCGCCTGCCGCGGATTCAATTCTTTCTCCATCAGCACCACGTACGAACTTTTGAATGGGACCGGCGCCAATCTTGGCAGTTTCGTTGAAGGTAATGTTCCGCGGAGGTTGCGGGTTTCTCGCTCTGACCATACGCATAAATTCGTCTTGGTCTCGCTTCTCCTTCTCAGCCCGTCGGGCGTGACCTCCGAAGTCATTCCAAGCCTTGATGCGAGCCTGTTCGTCTCCGGTGGCAGTACCAAGTAATTGGTGACCAGCAAGGGCGCTTGTGTTGAGGTCGCTTCGTGGAGTCGGAGCGGCATGGTTTGTGTCGACAGCGTGAGGACCGTGGGGACTCAATGCCTTGGACTTCATAGGAGGTGGACTATGGGGCACCTTTGCAGTGTAACGCACGTGAAGGTGGGCCGAGAGCCAATAAGCAGGACGCAGATGATTGAGGGCTTCACGTGCAGCGACACTTCCGAGCTTTCCTGCATCAGAATCGGCTTTGAAGCCTGACTTCTTGCGAAACAGGGTTCCGTAATCTCCAAGCTTCTCGACCCCCTTTGGCCAATCATGGGACAGGCCGATGTCGATCTGGGTGCGCACTTGTAGCAACTTGCGGACATCCAGCTCCCGGATATGGTAGATGGAAGAAACATCATCTCTGTTGTAGGGCAATCGTTCGTAGTGGGTCTTCCGATAGTCGTAACCCTTCCAGATGCCCGACATGCCCGAGATTCGGAGAGGTCCAAAGCGAAGAATGTTCGCTGCGCCCATGAAGTAGATGTTGGGGGCCACCCAACCGCCATAATAGAGCTCGGAAAGGTGATTGCTCGCTTCATGATTGCCCCCAATGAACAGTGTCAGATATGGAGCAATGCGGTCACCACTGTAGTACTCATGGAAATCACCAATTTGCTTGAACTTGTCGGGAACCGAGAGACAAGTCGCATCATTGGCATTACGCAGAGCCTGGTTTTGTCAGTCGACATTGAGCTCGTGTGGAATAGGACGTGACAATGAGCCCACCTGGAAATCACCACCGATAATGACAAGATCAACAGATTCCCAGCTTTTCTCAGCGGCTTTACGATCCACAGTCTCATAAATGTCATTCAAACTGCCATGGCCCTATATAAAATGATTAGTAACCAGCTGCGAAGTTGATGTGTCAAATGGAGTGGGAGATCTCCATCCATGTAATATTACTTACGCAGCCTTCCACAGCAATGCGTACCGGTGTCATTGTAGACGAATGTGACTGAGTTGTCGGAATGTGATAGCACTGAAAAGCAACACAAGCCTCTGAATGAGGCTGTTAGGAAAAAAATTCTGAAAAAAAAAAAATTCTTGCCGCAAATCCGATGAGAGCACGAAATAAAATGAAAGTTAGAAAATAAGAGAAGAGTGGGGGATTGGGGATGGAAAGGGTAGAGAGCAGAGAGATGTAGATGGGAAGAAGCCGCGGGTGGAGCTGGCTTTTAAGCTCCCGCGCGGCAAATCTCTGAATAGCAAACGGCGAGCTATTGTCTTCCGTTTGTCCTCTTTGTTCTTTGTTGGTCTCCATTTTCTTTGTCATTGAGTCGACAATTGTTTTGATTTTTATTGAGAAGTACTTTTCTCTCAATTAGACAATATCGCGCAATGTCTCACATCGATCCTTCCTTTCTCATTAAGGCTGCGTCGGCTGTCCCCATCGGTTCATCGACATCGGCTCATCTGCTAGCGGTGCACACCCGGCTTCTCCACGAGGAGTCTAAGTCATTGAATGTCCCACAGAAGAGAGATCACTGTGGAGCATGTGGTAGCATTAGAAAGCCCCAGTCGAGTAAAGTTACTAAGATCAGGCCGAGAAAAAGCAAGCCTTTAACCTCTGGATCGGCATCTGCGGGTGCCACAGTGTACAAGTGTCTACGCTGCTGCCAGCGGACAGTACTACCCCGAAGGAATTCAAGGAATCCTATCTCGAAACCTTCCTCTAGAGCAGCTACGGTTACATCTACTCGGGGGTCAACTACAGTAGAGGTTGACGTGGAAGGTGCGACGCAGGCCTCAACAGATCCCAAGGCAGGTGGCAATCAGAGCAGCAAGAAGAGAGCCAAGGCAAGAAAGCAAGGTGGGCTTCAAGCTCTTCTAGCCTCCAAACAACGTGCCCAACCCTCACTTGATCTGCTCGACTTTTTGCAGTAGAGGTCGCGCACGTGAGTTTGTTGCCAAATCGGGACTAGCGCGGGGCAGCTAGCTTGCCTGCAACTCCAAGGTCCGTGAAGGTGACCCCAACATCATATCTCCAGCGTGTGTGTCCGCAGAGTCGACTCGCGATTTCCCTTGCTTATTTTACGAAGCTACCTCTCCTGTGATTCCATCGTCGCCACAATGTCGTCTTACTCGGACGACGACGAACATGATCCCCAGGCGGATGAGCTCCGCGAGACAGCCTTGGTCACGCTCGAGGCGTTGATCAGCTCCTGCAATAAACAGATGCAACCGTACCTAACGAACACCACTCGATCGGCTCTTCGATTTTTGAAATATGATCCAAACGTCGCCGAAGTTGAGGACGATGAGGAGATGGGAGGCACACAGGACGATGGGAGTGAGGATGATGCCACGGAGGAGCCTGACCTGGAAGACGACGAATTCGGGGACTTTGAAGAAGAAGGCGGCTACAGTGATATCGATGACATGAGCTGGAAGGTACGCCGGTGTGCTGCCAAGCTTCTCTACACCGTCATCTCTACCTACGGGCTTGGCCGCGCTTCGGACGCCTCAGCCCTGTTTCAGCAGATTGCCCCAGCTCTGATCTCCCAAATTAGCAGGGAAAGAGAAGAGAGTGTGAAACTTGAGGTGGTGTCGACATTGACAGCCCTTGTTCGGAAAACCGGTGAGGGCTCCATGATCGTCACATCCAATGACTTCCTGGAGGCCGTGGGAGGCTCGAAGAATTCTCGCAAGCGCAGACGCCAAGACAGTGATGCGTCAATGATTGACTTTGAGCCGAGCGCTGGAACCTCGTCAGCGATGGATTCTCCTGCTGTGCCATCGTCCCCGAAGTCTGGTTCTCAGGCTGATCTGGCTCGCTCCGTGCCTTTGATCGTACAGAACCTTGTCAAAGTTTGGAAGCAGGCTTCGATTCCACTCAAACAAGCTGCAATTATTCTGCTCAAAAGCCTTTCGTTGGTTCGGTATGGTGGTCTTGCAGACCATCTCCAACAAATTGAAGACCTCATTGCAGATGCCCTCAAGACCTCATCTCTCTCAGGAAGCACGGCGGCTCATACTGGGGCTGCTGTCAGTGCAGGTACCCTCCAAATCGAAACCCTGGGTCTCATTGCTGTGATCGCTGAGACCCATCTGTCCGACGCGCTATTGCCATTCCTGATTGCCCTGGTGTCCGGAGTGATCGCAGCCGTCAATGACCGCAACTACAAAGTCAGCAGTGAGGCTTTAGGTGCTGTGGAGCAAATTGTGAAAGCAATCACCCCGCCAAGGGTATCTGCTAATCCTTCCGATGTCGCTCTGCAGCTGCAGAAGCTCTATGATGTTGTCCACTCTCGAATCACCGACACGAGCGCTGATCTCGAAGTCCGTCAACGGGCAATTCATGTCTTCGGTGTGATTCTCGCACGTACATCAGGAGAACAGGGTGTGGAGTTCCTTTCATCCGAGAGGCGATCTAATGGTCTGGCTGTTTTGGTCGACCGAGTGAAGAACGAGACAACTCGTTTGTCCGCGGTTCGTGCGATTGACGATGTCGTCGTTCTCGCCAGCCGCAAGCAGGATGCTTCTAGTGACTGGGTCAACAATGTCGCCCTTGAGCTAGGGTCGAACTTGCGCAAGTCCGATCGTGCTTTGAGAGGCTCGTGTTTGGAAACTCTCCGTAGTCTCTCCATGAATTCTAGCATGAGATCTCACCTCACCCCTGAGACGATCACAGCACTAGAGAATGCTGCTTTGCCTCTTCTCGCTGCAGCTGATTTCCACACTCTTACGCCCACGTTGATCATTATTGCCAAACTTGTCCCTGGAAACGCAAAACTAATGGTGAACAGCGGTTTGATCTCTTCTATCTGCTCAATCGTGACCAAACCACTAGTCGGAACTGTTCTCAAAGCATTGCTGCTGCTGGTCAAAGTTATTGGCGACGAAGGTGCGGGTGCTAGTTTGATGCAGAATCTTCTCCGCGACGTGGGAATTACAGGGGACCCATCAGTGGTCGGAAGAGCCGTTGGCACCCTTCTGGTCCACGGTGGACCGAATCTCGGTGTCACAATGGAAGATTTCTCGACAGAACTCAAGACTGCACAGGATGATAGCCGAAAATGCCTTGCCCTTGCTATCCTAGGCGAAATCGGTCTGCGAATGGGCCCCGAGTGCTCGTTGACCCCGAGTCTATTCATTCCCCATTTCGAATCCCAGTCAGATCATGTGCGCTTGGCTGCCGCAACTGCTCTCGGAAACGCGGCCGCAGGTAGCGTCAAAGCTTATGTCCCAATCATTTTGAATGGGTTGGAAAAATCAAATCCTCAAAGCTATTTGCTTCTCCATTCGGTGCGAGAATTGCTTCAGCATCCGGAGGTAGTACGTCCGGATCTTGCACCATCCGCTCACAAATTGTGGCACGAACTCCTTGTCGTCTCCGAAGAGGAAGACAACCGTGCTGTCGGGGCTGAATGTGTCGGCCGCTTGGCACTCCTTGACCCCGTTGCTTACATTCCCCACTTCCAAGTAAGTCGTGCTCATTCTGCTGCATTCTCAAGGCTAACCTCATGCCCGTAGGAGTACCTGGCCAATTCCGACCCGGCTGTTCGTGGCGTGGTTATTTCGGCATTCCGCTACACGCTTGCTGATTCGAGTGATGCTTACAACGATGTACTGCGACCGTTGATGGTGCCCCTTTTAACAAACATGCTCAGCGACAGTGATCTGGGCAACCACCGGCTTGCGTTGACCACCCTTAACTCTGCAATCCATAACAAAATGGATCTTCTGCTCCCTCACCTGGACGAGCTGCTGCCGGCTGTTCTTGGTGACACCAAAATCAAGCCAGAGCTCATTCGCGAGGTACAAATGGGTCCATTCAAACACAAAGTGGATGATGGGCTCGATTTACGAAAGGTCAGTATCTCTTATTATCTGCCGTAGATCCCCACTGACATCGTTGTTTACAGAGTGCATACGAAACCCTTTATGCCTCGCTCGACACTTCCTTCTCCCGCACCCATATGGCCGAACTCTTTGACCGCATCCTCGCCGGTATCGATGACGAACAGGACATCCGTGCGATCAGCAATCTCATGACATCCAAACTGATTAAGATCGCACCGGAGGATACCGAGCGGCGGCTAGATGCTTTGTCAGAGCATTACACCTCCGTGCTTTCCTTCAAGCCAAAAGAGAACGCCGTCAAACAAGAGCTGGAGAAGGCTCAGGAGGCGTCCCTTGGGATTCTGAAGATTACTAGAGAACTGAGCAAGGCGTTCCCCGGTGCAGAGGCATCAGGCGATCTTCACAAGTGGAGGACATACATAGAGTGGGTTCGGCGGACCTTTTCACCGCAGTTGACGAATTTGGAACTGGAATCCTGAACTTGATACAGTGGAGATCGAATCCTGGGCAGTTTCAATGATTCTATGCGATGAAAAGCGCAATGATGAGCCATTTGTCGCAATTAAGCTAGCTTACGACGTAGTCCAATGAAATACATGATCTTAATAAATCTCTATCTTCGAGTATCGAAGAAACTGGGTACTTAAAAGCAAAACGATTCGGCAACGTCAAGCGTCAACCAAGCACCTAGGCTTTGGATCATGATAGTACCATTTTGGGAGAGCGTGTGTGGTTTGTATTGCAACGTCCATTCAGCACCCTTCCCGTATGGTTGTTTATTCCGGCGTACATAGTTAGAGTGTCGTTGTTAAGCCTCAAACGAGCAGACAGAGTAGCGGCTGTTGTCGTTGGCGCTTGTTGTGGTGTAACCCTTTTGTTCACCACCTCCAACCCACGTCGTCTTGGTACACGTCAGTGCTCGTGACGGGATAGATTCGATCCATATCCGTGGATGGCAGAGCGAGTGCAAACCGACATAATTTGAATCCCTCCAGTTGTCGCTGGAGTCGGTACGAGTCGTGTGGTTAAATCCGGAGATGTACCTGGAGACCATTAGCTCGTTCAACATTGGAAATGATAGTATAAGGCGTACATATCTCCGGTGTCCCGATCGTAGATGATCTTGACGGTGTAGGAAAGATTGGCTGGTATCCGCACTGTACAAGCTTCCTGGTTCCTATTAGCTCTGGGTACGTTATCGCAATCAAGTAGCCAAAAATCGTACTCATAAACCTCGCGAAACTTTGCTCGAATCATCTATCGCTCTGAAAGGGGCGAACCCCAGAACTTTCGTCTATCAAGGGACTCTCCGGGGACCTTTTCCCACACCAAATAAATCACATAGCCTCCGGGGACCATATCATCTTCATCTTGCCTCTCCACCTGATATCCAAGGAGATTGGGCACAACATCACAGCATTACTCCTTGAATGCCTTTAAGGCGCCCAGCTCTAAAGGTTCATGTGGCTCTGTGGCCTGGGCAGCCCGGATTTTAGGCTTCTGGAACTCAGTCCCAGTGGTAGGAATCTGCTTATAGATTCGCATGCATGCGAGCTTCTGTTGGTCGTCGGAACCGGCGGGTTGACAAAGAAACTTTCCAGCAACGTATCCAGGGCCCAGACCGTCCGCGATGTCTCGCTCGTCCGCTACATTTGCGCTCTCGTCAAGCTTGACGATTTGCCAGGTCTTGGGGGGAATGTAAAACGGCGGTCCTGGCGGTGAGTCGAGGGTGACCTTAGCGCCTTTGAGGCCGGGAAGGTATTGCAAAGATGTGGTCATGGTATATACTTGATAAAATGGGGAAAGAAAATGACAAGAGCTTAGAAAGTAGTGAGAAAATACCATTACACATGCATGGATCGCACCATAGGTGTAGTGAAGGCATCGCAGCACAACTTCGAAAGATTCCAGCACCCTCTCCTTCAAATCTTCGATGCAAACTCCATAAAGACCTTGATTCGGTTCCCTCCTATACAGGTCCTATAAGGACATAGTCATTACCACTTCTTTCACTCCTCCTCGCCCTTGATCGGAGTCATCTCAGAAGTAATCTCTCCGGGAAACGGCTTGCGCGCCCATACACGTCGTCTAGACAAGAATCAGCATATCAATCTCCCCAATACCACACCGCAGAGTCGAGCCAAACTCACGCTCTCTGATAAATATGATATTTTGGATTCTTAAGATCCGAACGAATCTTGGCCAAATAAACCGTAACCTCATCCTTCGACCAAGGATGCGGCGCACCGAAATGGGTAAGTAACCGCATACACCATCCCTCCATACCAGAAAGCCAATGCTGGAAATTAACAACGCCCGCCTCTTTATATTTCTGATCACGAGCCCACGGGCCAATCGGCCAGTTGTATGACTTCTCCTGGATATCCACAAATCCAGCCTTTTGCATCATGTCCTGCATGGTATCAATCGTATCTAGAGAGAGCCCGGCCCGCGCACCGCACGCGTTCATAGTCGGACCCCAGGTTCGCAGGATACTGTCTGCCGGCAGGCTGTCGTCGTCACACTCGATGGATGTACTGCCTTCGAGTTGTTCAATCCAGCCTCCTGGTCGTAGGTTTCTACGAAAGACGCGGTGTTAGTGCACATGGTTGCAGATATGGGTAGGGAATGGGATAGATGGTTGCGTTACTTGAAGGAGCTTGTGTAGACGTGATCCCACCCCGCCGGATCGAATGAGCCGGTCATAATCCGCATGTGGATTAGGTCGAGGGGGTCTCTCCAGGTCCATTCTTCTAGGACGTTATCAACTTCAAGGATGCAGTTGGGCGGCATCCATGTAATGGGAGGTGGGAAGAGGTCGACTCCTCGGACAGTTGCTAGATGGTGTTAGTTCACCATATTGTAGATCCCTGGGGGGATGGTCGGCGCTCACCAGATGGGAACATGTCGGCAACATCGCTATACAGGTGTTATGTTGGTATAAGTCTTGTCTGTTGCGACAGGAGCGGTTCTCTTCTAACGTACACAGCCCAGTTACCCTTACCCGTCCCAATGTCGAGGATATGTTCAGGGCTTTTCCCGACGGGCGCTCTAAATAGCGGGTTCTCTCGCTCCGAATCTAAAACAAGAGCGAGCAAATGCCTGAGAGTGTTAAGGGTGATACTAACATATAGAAAGATCGGTCGTACGTACCCAGCTTCGTAGGACTCAAATGCCAGGTCATCGGACGGAATCCTGGTGAGAACCGAGGATCAGTTGGCAGTTCCCTTAGCAGCAGATACTATGACGTACATACAGATATTCTTTGTCGCTCAGAGTTTGATACCTGCAGATAATAAGTAAGCAACTGGCCATGCCCCCGGGTGTGCCGAATGTACGATAAAACCATACCGTCTGCCATTTTCTATCAGGCCACGATAGATCGAGGAACCTATAGATGTAGTCTCCCTAGTACCGTGTTAGAGATCGGTGACATGAGATAACGGGGAAATGCGAGCATTTACGACTGCCAATCATTGCCATAACCGGCAGACAGATAGACATCCGTATCCTATAACTTGTTAGAATATCAAGGAGAAGGACCGATAGATAAACATACCACAGCAATATGTGGTGATTTGGACATGTTTCGATATCTGCGCCTCGGGGTGATAGGAAAGAGGGTAAAGGGAGGAGGAGATTACAAGGGCCGTCGAAATGCCAATTGGTACTAATGTCCAACGGTGTCTACCCGGTTGTCCCGCAATCCTGTAGCCGTTTTAATAGTTGGGATTGGGTGATGGGAGACAAACGAGGTATGATGCTCCACGGCTGAATCCTAAATGGGGTTGGTGCAGTGTTAGCCACGTTGTCCGGAGGTTCCCGTCGACGATCATTGGATTAACACTGACAGGGGTGTGGGCCGAGGCTGCATCTGCGCCGAGATTCTCTCGCCTCGTTCTATCCGTAAGTACTCCATGATAGCGGGAGTAAATGTACAAAATTCAAGGCAAGTGAATGCCCCGATAATAGTACGCATCTCGTCCCATATATTTCCCAAATTAACAGAGTAGAGCGACCATAGGTTTTCTTTTTAAAAAGAGAGTTAATTATAAAGGGAAGCGTGCATTATGCAGGTTTGACAGTAAGCCCTCGAGGGATGTGCAATGCATGTACGTTGTATCCGTACGTAGACTGTATTATAGGTTTATCAGGCCACATACAAACTAGCTAAACTAGGTTAGTGAACTAGTCAGCTAGCGTGCGGCTATACTCCACACCAAAATAGCGCTTTTCAAGACAGAAATATATTGACAGATGTAAAGTGGGAGGAATAATGTATACCAGAAAAGATATGAGAATCTCTAATATTAGAACTATGCTCCGTAGAATCAGAGGGAATAATGTATGATGTTGCTATGAGAGGTAAACGGTTCTCATGCCGGTCAACGGAGATTTTGTCTTGGATTCGATGGCCTGAATTTCCAGCCCAGTCTGAAATAGGCAGCCCTAAGTTAATTGATTCTCGGCTACCAACATGAGACATCAGGCATATTGTACCCTTCGATATTGAACAGGGCGAGAAACATGACGAAAATATTACGTGATGTGGTGTATTTTAATACACAGTAGTGAAAAGTTCTATAGCGAGACCATAATAAATGATGTCAGAACAGAATCTAGACTGAGAATAGTACTGAAGACCCTGATTTTCGTGGTTGCCTAGTAGTATTTTTCAAATGACGCTTGTACTGGAAAATGGATCACTTTTCCGACAGGGATTTTGCTCTCCTGACAGGGGTCACTTAGGTTCAACAAAAGACAACATGCGCTTAGCGTTTATGACCCGGCATGGGTGTAATCTACGCAAAGCTATCTCTCTATCCTTTTGGTTCGATCATTGTTGGCCAGTCTCCCGCAAGTATTGGTTCTCTCTGTTGTTCATCACCGTGATCTGCGCCAAGATTCTTCATATCTACTCACATCTGAACTCTTTACCTCTCGGACAATTGATGATCTGGGGCCCGACATTCTTTTTACAAGATGTAGTGTGTATCTTGTTCACTCACAGCCTGTGTGCTGATTACCAGCACCGCTGGACACGTGTCATAGCGGCCTTGTTGGTTGTTCCAGCTAGGTATAAGTTCCCAGCATGGAGTTGGGCGGGACCATGTGAGACAATAGCTAAATGAATTGCTTGTATAGTTTGGCAATATCCGGTCTGTCAGCCGCCAATATCTCTTTCTATGTCGCAACAGGAGCCGAGATTCACTGGAAACAAGCGCACAACTTCCACGGCGACAAGCCTGGCGTCAAAACGCTGCTCACCGGCTTAACGGGTTTCATCATCGTCGAGATTGCCTTTGTTGCCGCATCCTGGTTTTCAACCCCGCATGTATGCAATTGGATCAAGGGAATTGTGTCAATTTTTAGGGGTGTTCTGCCATCCGCCTGTCGTGGGAAACGAACTTCCCCGATCTTGAAAAGCTATGAGCGAGTCCCGCCCGAGGAATGGGATGATGATCGAAGAAATACCGAGTTGAACTCGGGAGCGCAGGGAATGGAAACAACTCTGGCAAATGTATCAAAAGAATCTCGTCGTTCTCGTTGGCTGCGGGTCTTTGTTTTTACATTCACGGGCCTTGCGGTTATTTTGCGCTGCATTCGCCCTTCAAGTGCTGCCTATAACTTTTTATCCGAGACTGTCATTGTCACACCGTTCGAGAAGGATCAGTCTCGCGCTTCATCACCGTTCGATCTACTTGAGTTGACAGGTGATTACAGTTGGTTGGGAAACCACACAGCCCTCGCAGCACCGCCCACATTTGACTGGCTGCCACAAGATAAACTGGCCGGGTTCAGTGACTGGTATGAAAATGCCAATCACACTGCGCGCATACATTATAATCCAGCACATGATCCACTTCATATCTCCAACCTGGAAAATGAAGTCCTCGAGTCTCTCCGCGAGCCGCTTCAGAGCGGCAATGTCAATATCAGGCACGTGTTACTTCTCAAGCTGGAAAGCACTCGTGCAGATGTCTTCCCACTTCGCAAGGAGTCCTATCTTGGGGACATGATTCGCGAAACATTCAAGAATGGCCACCTCCCTGGTGAGATTGAAGAAAGACTGGCCAATCTAACACCCACCGCAGAGAGACTTACAGCCACTTCTTCCGGGTTCAATGGAAACAATGATGTAGCTAACCCCTACGGGGGATTTCATGCTACCGATGCTTATACGGGCGGTACCTATACCCTGAAGAGTATCGTGGCGACTGTGTGTGGTATCGCTCCCTTGGTTGCGGATTTCAATCGCGAATACCTGCACCACATTTACCAACCATGCATGCCGCATATCCTTGAGGCACTCAACTCTCAGGCCAACAAGACCAAGACGGAGGATTATACCTCTTGGCCATGGCGGTCCACATGGATGCAGTCCGTCACTGAAGACTACGACAACCAAAATCTTCTCACACCCGCGTTGGGCTTTAAGCACAAAGTAACCGACATCAACATTTCTGAGGATCATGCGAAGCAGGGTGGCCCTCAACTGGAGAAGTTCAATTTCTGGGGATACCCCGAAACAGAGCTTGCGGATTATTACCGCAAGGCAATCAACTCAGCAGAGAAGCGGAAGGAACGACTATTCATCTCGCACTTGACTAGCATTACCCATCATCCTTGGGATACACCGAACCACAAGCACGAGGAAATGATCAGTCACAGCTGGGTGGGAAAGACGAACAAGGTAAATCACTACCTGAATACGCTTGGCGTTGCAGACAAATGGCTCGCCGAGTTGTTGAACATCCTGGAGGAAACTGGTGCTGCCAACGAGACCCTGGTCGTGATGGTGGGAGACCAGTAAGTGCCAGACCCAATACTCTCCTATCAGCTAAACCTAACCCCAACAGTGGAGTTTCACTCCCCGAGAACGGCGGCGTCACCCCGTATCTCAACCCTCATACCGCCAGCTTCCACGTCCCTCTAGTCTTTGCCCACCCCCAACTGCCACCCGTCGAGATCAACTCTCGAGTAGCCTCCATACAAATCGTTCCCACAATTCTTGATATTCTATCAGAATCGGGATCCCTCGACAAACAAGCCAAATCTGCTATCAAAGATCTTCTCCCCATGTACGAAGGTCAATCAGTGATCCGACCCACAATCGCAGAGAAAGATGGAAAGCAAGACTGGCAGTTCTCAGTCATGAACACTGGAGGAACATGGCTTGCCTTGCGATCCGCTGCAAAGCCTTACCGTCTCATCATCCCCGTCATCCCTGACCTCGAGTGGCGGTTCTCGAATGTAGAGACCGACCCGCATGAACTTGAAGCATTGCAGGATTTCAATCTTGAGAATTTGATGAATATGGTCCTGCCTGAACACGGAGAAGATGCTGTACAGTGGGTTAAGGACGCGGCCCACGTGGCGAAGTGGTGGGTTAAGGAAAACTGGCGGCGCTATAAATATCTGCCGTGATCCCTTCAACCTCGACTCAGTGATTCTCATATAATAAGGGATTGTGCTTCGTCTGTGAGCATGTGCTCGTTGTGCTCACTTGAAAAGTCTACTAAGAGGGCATTGCTTGTCTCGGCGCCTCGGACATGGTACTCAGGCTAACCCGCTTGGCCCAATATGATGACCTATATATCTGATCAAGGAAGGCCAGAAGAGCGAACTTGCCTCTCATACCATTTCAGCCCAGGAAAGCGACATTCCCTTGGGATTTCCTCTCGAGGGTCATTCTCCTAATTGATCCAGGGCCGCCAACATGAGGCATGTTGCAAGACTCGGGTTCACCCTTCAATATTGCTTGCTAGGCCATTGAACCTTTAAATGTCAAACAGCATGCGAAATATTACTCGACGGCCCAGGAGCCCTAATGCAAAGGCCTCAAGCCCTACACTGGAGATCAAAGGGCAGAAGGTCACCGGGGAGAGAGTTGGATTAGGAGAGAAGGAGCGACCTCGGGACCCTGAAACTGAGGGGTGGATGTCTAAGGCACTAACAGATGGCTTAAGACCACAACAACAAAAGGAGCAGATTCAGTATTAAGAAACTTGATTCTTATGGAAATCGGAGGGATGGAGATGAAAGGAGAGATATATATATAGCTACAGCTATCTACGTAGGCAAACAGGTGCTGTCACCGTGCGTCCCGAAAGTTTATTGTCTTGTCTCACAATAATTACTATGTAATCGTCCCAAGCGCCAACACCCTTTCTTCCCTATGTACATTGGAACGCCCCAACGATAACTGGCAACAATAAATCACATAATTATGTACCTCTTATACGCTCACACAACAGGTATAGCAAACTCAACCTCAACCAACTAGTTACACACGGCAATCAGTCCATTACATATGTACATATAGCAAACACTGGTTCCGTCGGGTCCATCGCCTACTCCTCACCATCATTTCCATAATTATATACGGACTAGGCATGGCTTGAATGGGGACGTGGGCCAATAGCGAAAATGCCGCATACGCCCTGGACCTTGGTCGATGCAAGATATCGACATATAAACGACCGGGAAGATTCGATTCCGAAAGAAATGAGTCCCATTTGGATCCCACGTGGTGCCAATCCGCCACTCTTCGCTCCAAATCGCGCAATCCCCACCATTCCTCATCCATCCATGCTAGTTAGTCTTGAATTCCTCCAATTCGACCTAGCCCCACAACTAGAGCCTCTTGGATCCTGCTCTACATAGCGGCGGCGTTCGTGACTCCGATTGGCTGGGATACACCTACTGCTACGATAACGCTGAGGACATCCCATCGGTTAGCGGTAGACCTCGGCAGAACAATACTTGTATATATCAAGGTCGCTGCCCAATTAGTTGAAGGGAGCTTCCTCCAGTTCCTCTATATGTCGAAACGGTCATCTGTATGACCCTGAGAGCGCGCTCATTCGGAGCTTCGGTCTTGTCCTGTTTGTAGCCTTATTGAAACATGACTTGGAGGTTCAACATCATGCTCGTCGCCATCATCTCTACCTTTCTATCGACTCTCGGCCAATAGATCATTGGCCGCATATTTCCCATCAATATCAATCGTATTTCGAATTATTTCCATCAGCGAACAGTAATAGGGGACTCGCGGAACGACTGGGCCTCATGCTCCATGCTCCCTCCTCTATCAACGACTGAACGGACCAAGTTCGGACCGGCCTAGGAAGATGCGTTGTCTACGGCTACCCCTCCACTAGTGGGGTTCTCGTCAAAGAGGCTGACCTTCTCGACATGCTCTTCCTATCACTCTCCCGCTCTCATGAGTTGCAGCGCTCTCCTAGTGTCGACGAAGAAGACAGATTCTGTAATATCATGCGACGGACTGGTGCTAAGTGGTGGTCGAGTCGGGAGGATAGGCTGGAAGTGCGGTTAGTCGCGAAGGAGATGACGGAGGAAGAAGAAAAGGTGCTGGTGCTCGGTTGGCCGACGGATGGAGTGGGTGTGGGGGTGTTGATATATGAGAGTGACAGGCAACTTCCAAAAGATTTCGGGAGAATGAGTCTAGCGATGAATATGGAGGAGAAGATACAGATGATGAGAGAGTATGGCGCTACGTTTGTTGGAGATGTCACGCAGGTGGAGGAACTTTGTGATAGCTAAGCATGTCTTGAGTCCTATTAGTCTTGGGATAAGTACTTGTGGAGAGGAATTTGATTTGATGCTACGTACACGCAGTGCCGCGTTGACAACTGCTCTTGTATTATAATACTATCACTGGCACTAGTGAAGAGATCTAGGTAATGTTCAAATAGTACAAATGGGACTATACAGCATGTATGGAATGAAAGGTTTTCTTACGGAAGTGATGCTATTGTAGTACCGAAAATGATTGTAAAAGCCGTCTATCTCTTCATGCCGAGTCACATTTATGGAATCGTCTCCCACCTCTGTAGATAACCATTCAAATGGGATAGAATAGAAAAGAATTGACAAGATGACAGTCAAAATGACTAAATGTAGTTCGGATTGAAATATCAAGTCCATAATGTCGCTTAATATGATCCTTATATCGAAAAAGGTATAGTCAGTATCGAACTGCATATACGCGGAAGGCGCTAATCTCGCTTTAGCAAAAGTCGGATACTTGCATTAGAAACCCCGAATTAGGGTTAGCGTAGAAACCCCAAATACCATATCCCTGAGAACGATGGAGTAGCTGGGATCTTCGACAGTAAGCTCGATAATTAGCGTACACAATAATAATAGGTAGGCGGTATAGCAAGCATGGTCAACGGAAGATAGATGTATTGGGGTCCAAATATTATGAAATGCCACGGTTGAGGATTCCGCAGTCTTCAAATGGGTCTCTGGAGTAGTCAAACTCCCAGGAGGTTGTGTGGCATTGCGGATCACCACTTCACTATAGAAGATTACCCGCTGCCAGCTGCTTCAAATATACGGTATAGGCAATACAAGTTCACTATTTGGTCGCTGCTACGAGCTAGCACAGGATGCTTAAAATCCTTGCACCCACTTTTTGAAGCCGCAATTTTCCATCGCACTTTGGCTGTCTCCACCGCTCCCCCGCGAGACCCTTTCTCGACCAGGGTCCTCATTATCCTTCTCTCCAAGCCCTGACGCAAAGCTCCCTCTCTCAAAACTTGGAATGATGCACGATATGATATCGAGCTCCATCATTTCTTCCGACATGACCTGCTGAAAATCCGAAACAAAGGAAAAGAGGCTCTTATAATCTAAGCAATATCGTATCAAACCCAAATCCCGCATATGCCATTGCTCCTTTGAGGGAGGTGTCGAGCACAGACATTGCCAAGGCATAAGACAGAAGTTGGGGCTGAAAGTTCTTTCAACCAACCCGGTAGTTCTTGGGTTAGCAAAGTAACGGAAAGCACAAGCATTGGTAAAATAGTTTCTTTTCTCGACCTGTTGTAGCGTAAGCCAGTAAGCTCTAGAAAAAAAAGCCACGCACTGATTTTGCTGCGGATAAGCACTATGTAGTCCTGAGATCTGCAGGATGTAGGTTTAAGACAAGCTCAATCCTTCGCGTCTTAGAGACCCCACGTTTTCCACTGAGCGCCATGAAAGGAATTCTGATTTGGTCTGAGAACCACACTTTCATTAACCACATATAGTTTAACTCCTATGCTGAGCGCCGGCCCCCGGGTAGTATCGTACTAGAAGTAGTTTCATACTAGAAGTAGGCCTGGAAAGTGACAGTGTTCCATAACCAATGATACCGTTTCTTGGAACTCAATTCTCGATAGCCCCTGCATGAGGAGCATAATTCCAATGTTCCTCCAAGAAAATTCCTTAGTCTGTATCTGCTAGGATCTCCGGGTTTCCTCACCAGAAGGGGCACAGGTAGTAGGCATCAATGGAAATAAGTTGGGTTACTATCCATTGAATCTCTAGTCCTTATCTACCAACCTTACAGTTCGTCCACCTTAATTATAATTACAGCGTATATTGTGTCAGGGCTCGTCTGCTGTGCATTTCCTCCAGGGCTGCATGATACATGATGCTAGAATCGGTTACTGAAATTGTTTGCTAGTGCTCCCAAGACTTAGCCAGCGTGAACTATCTGAAGCCACTTATCGATCGTCTTTGAGCTAGTAACAATGCTACCGTTACCTCCGAAGTGAGAGATTTTATAATGGCGCTAGATAAAGGCGTCCGGAGGGTGTCCGTCTTAGGTTAGGAGCCTGAGTACAAGTCTATAAAAGGCCGGTCATTTCCTGCTCAACATTCTCTCATTTAGGCCTTGACAAGTGCAGCGGTACCGGTGCAACGGTACTGGTGCAACGGCTGCACCAAGGCCTTAGTTCGGTGCAGTGGTACGTGGGGCCGACTACACCAAGGGCGAGGTTCGGTGCAGCGGTACTTTGGCTGTAGTGCAGCTGCACTATAAACAATGCAAACATTGCCTAATTCGGCTTATCCCGTGACTTATATATGTAATTTATGTAAATTACGGCCTTGTTGGTTACCAGATCGGCGGTACTAAGCCTAATGGGGTAATTTCTTGGCAAAATCTGGCCTTGGCAGCACCTGGCTGCACTGCCAAGAGGTGCAGCTGCACTAGGGTTCGCTGCACCGGGCAATTGCACCAAATTTCTCAAGGTACCGCTGCACCCCACAGCACCGGGCCATTGCACCAAATTTCTCGAGGTGCAGCTGCACTTGTCAAGGCCTACTCTCATTCAACACAGAAACGAAAGCAACTCCTCAATACTCTTACAAATCCAACCATCCACCATGGTCAAGATCACTACTCTTGCGCTTGCCGTTGTGGCTACCTTTTCGTCCCTTGTTGCGGCCAAAAACTGCCAGAACGGCCTCCAGTACTGCGGCTACGTGCTTTTGAGAAAGGGTAAGTTATAGGAATACCTAATGTCTGTTGCTATCCCAATGTCCGTGTCTTAACTCTATGTACTAGGCAACTACTACGCGCAGATTTCCCAAACCCTGCAGGACGCCAATATGCCCACCGATCCGAGCCACATTCAAAACACCCTTTTCCAGTGCGTTGGTGGACCGAATGGTGACATCGAGATTCTCAGGTACTGTGGTGCTGCCTGCCAGGATGGAGGTGACAACCACAGCGACACATGTTAAATGTTTGGTGACCTGGTTTCCTGGGTCCGTGGTCCAAAGTGAAGCCGGCTGATCTTGAATTATTCGCGCTGTTTGCATTGGGATTATGTTTGGTTATGAGTCTTTACTAATTTTGTCAGGATGAGAATGTCCGCATATGCTAGTGTTCTCTCTGATTCGAGCGGCTTACAAGGACACCAAAGTTCTATATATCTGCGCTGAATCCCATCCATATCCAAGGACAACTTCTGGCGCTCGGTAGTAGTTTGGCTGTATAGGACAAGTAAGAACGGATTAGTCCTGTGACTTCGTTTCTAGATTGATAGCATCGAATTTCCATGCCGAGCCAAAATCAGTTATTTTGGGGAGGACATTTGCGATATCCTCAACGTCTATTAGCCCGAAACCGCTGTAGCTTTGGTAGATTGTGTGGCTTGATCGGTTTTGTAATGCATAGGGAGCTTGGTGACTTGTTCTTGAATGAACCTTGGGATAGCTTTCTCATTCTCGAAGGTCATCAGGATATTTGCGAGCTTCAGTTCTAGTGCGACTTTGCTAGTTAGCAAATGCTGTTTTTATAGCTATACTAGAAGCCAACTAGCATCACTTTCTAGTGTGGACGAGTCTGCACTCATCGTGCAAATACTACAGCCTAAGAAGAAGCAATCCAATATACGCCTTGGCAACCGAAAGAGGAATTCTTCGGTTCTCGAAACGTTCTTGAAACACTGTCATTGGCTCCCGTATGCCTGATGTACAAGGCAAAGGTTCGTTTGGTCTGAGTCCTTGAGCTCAAAGCTCTCCAGACAGTTCCGTGTAGACCCGTGACCCTGGTGTGAAGGATTCTTTTGTGTAACCGTTTCCTAGATACTGAGAGTATTACTCGCAGAGTTAGCATAGCAGCTGTTCAAAATCTTAAAAGCAACTGACTGCCATCGGTATCTAGTGGCTCAGTAGCTCCAATTAGCATCGATCTGAGTTGGCGCAGAAACAAAACATACCTGGTAATACCTCGCGCTAGCCATACGGTCGAACTCGTTCCCCAGCCGATCTTCGCTAGCAACTGGTAGTTATTGCCAAGTATCTTGCCTGGCTTTACGTGGTATTAGTCTTGGGAAAAGTTTTTCGGGTATCTCTCCTCATCGACGACCTCGTGGCTGGGTATGGCAAAGGTAGGACCTGTAGGAGGGAGTTGGAGCGGTTTTGTGCGGAGTGAAACAAATGAGCACTTTGTCACGCAACTTGTAAACCGTAGGCCAACCATGCGGAGATGTGGATTTCGCCTGAGTGTCGGAGGACGTTGGCTTCAAGGTGTTAACTGTGCGAAGGTTGGAAGCTGCTGATGTGGGTATATCTGCCTTTTCGGGACGGTCCGGTGCCCCACTCTGTGGATCGGAAGGAGCTTCCAAGGTTGGAAGGGATGTCTTTTCCAGCTCGACGTTTACCTAGGTGTAAGATTATGAAGTTCTAGATCTCTTTAAACGTGCGGTAAAAAGGGGAAAGATCAAATTTGGAAATAGGAGGCTGCCTACGTGCATTACATGTATTATTAAGCTTTGTTCTGATTCCAACCTTGGAACCTTGGAACCTTGGAAGAGATTCACGTGCACCCTCCATCAACTGGTTAATTTCCACGCCCAGAGGATGCTTTTCTCTGCATCTGGATATAATGATGGATTATTCGCACTCTGATGGGAACAAATCACGGTTGTATTCTGTTGATTTTGATGCTCAAAGGCAGTTCGATCATGGCTATTGTCTAGCTCTGCTATTAATTGTTTTGATGATCGCCGTTTGATACCTACATGGTTAGGTAAGCCCCTTCAACGTCTCACCAAGCTATGTAGACTGCGCCAAACCCTATCGAAAACCCGGAAATAGGCCCATACTCTCGACCCACAAACCATTTTATAAACCATTTTTTGTCGTAAAGTTCCATAAATTAACTACTATAGGAAATAGTATTACTATTTTAGGATGATTCTATGGAGACACGCAAAAGCATGGGTTATAAAATCGCAAGATACGAAGTTACGGGTGGAAAG